TATATCATTCAATGTTTTATTTTGAGGAAAGATAAAAACTTATGCAATTCCTGAGTGTAGAAACTCCTTGCACTTATTTAAAATTTAGGAGAACATTTAAGCCACTCAGGTATGAAATTTTTCAGACTACTGAAATCCCTCTAGCAGAGATGTTTTAACATTATATTTTGGGAGCTTTGGGTGCTGAAGGGCCAAATGTTTTCTGGGCATTTTTTGGCCGATTTTAAATGTTCTACCATTAATTAGACATTCACCAGATGTTTACAAATTTTCTTTAGGAAAGTACAACAACTACGTGAACGATTTTAAGTCATGTTCATACACATTTATTAGACATTTAAGTCATGTTCTTAAAACATTTATTGGGTATACTCAGTAAATGTTGCATATAATCAGCAGGTTCCTTGAATAAAATGGTCCATCAGTTACTAGCATGTTTTAAGCACCTACTGCGTGTAGAACATTGAACTAGATCCTTCCTACCATTAAGGACCAGGGGCACATTCGCTCTTTGTCTATCACTCAAATGGTTCACTTCATTGTAGTCATAGTTGACATAAAATGGTAAAATATCCAACATGCCAAAAATGCTCATGCTTTTAATGCCAGGAAAAAGTTGCCGGCATATTCCAAGTACTTCTTTGATCCTCTTGTATGCATTCTCCTAGGTACAGCCTTCGTCTTCAGTTGTGTTTATGAAAGTACTTTTTGCTTTTGAAATACTAGGGACCGATATCACTGTTGACGATAGTGCAGAGAAACCCTCCACATCTTTCAGTACATAATTTAGTCCTCTGTAAAGGCCTTCGTGTTTTCCGAGCAGAATGTACGAGGTGTGCCATCTCAAAATCAGCTGCTACCCTATACCTTTGATAGAAGTCACTTCCCTTCACTTGTGGCCTAGCTGTCTGATAAGTATTGTCGGTGTGCAAAAGTCTTTACCCCAGAATGTTTTATTTATAGCAAACTGAGTCTGAAAATTTTAGAGAGACAGTCTCTTTGTGGATGGTTGTTGTTAACTGTAATTGTTGTTGCCCAGAGCCATGGGTTTTTAAACCCCACTTATCCACATGGTGTGTCTTACTAATTCTTTGAACTCCTTAGAATAAGTTTTTGTGATAAAGGACTGTGAAATCAAAAGAATGAGGCACTTGTGGGTGCACTAGATAGATTCCAGCAGTATTGTGATTCTGTACAGGATTTTTTTTTTAATGACAACATTCACAAAACTTCTTTTTAAAAAGTATCTTAATATGCCTGTTAACGGTTGCCACTGATATATAAGAAATATATTTGTGTTTTGTACTAAAACACAAATGCAAGAGTGCAATTTTTAAAATCTAGAAGTTAGGGGTTCTTTTGTTAAAAGAAAAATGGACTGACCCAAACCATTAAATCTTATTGGGATTTTTATGCATAGAAACTAACTTATTTAAATATGAAATAAACAGTGCCAGTATTCATGATAAGGTGAGAAACTATAAGATTTGGTTTTATTTGTTCTCTTCAGCAATTATTCAGCAATTTTTAAAGGAATACTACTGTTTTTTCTTATATTTTTGTTTCTTAGCATTATTTCACAATCATCATTTAATTATTAAATTGTCATTATTTCAGATGGAAATAAGATTTAAAGTTCTTGCGTGTAAAATATGTAATTTACAAATTTAAATTATTTTCCTTTTTTTTAAACAAATGGAAGTAAATTTGCTTGTTCTAGTAAATCTTAATTTTCAGGCTTCCAGGATACCTTAATTGTAACTGTCAGTGTTGCACTGGTCAATATGTGGAAACATATTGTTCTATCCTGTTACTTACATTTATTTGAAAGTGAACTTGCAGTGATGAGGAATTTATGAAAAAGATACTGTATTTCTTTTGCTGTTACAAAAAGTAGCACATGTAAAACTGATCTATGAAAACATGCTATATGTCCAAAAATAAAGACCAAAATGACATTTTGACGATTTTCTGAGTTTGTCTTGTTTTATGAACAGAAAATTATTTACTAGTTGAACAGTACTCCCCCCACCCCCCTCCCTCGCATGCTTTCTTTTTCAGGGCAATTCGATGGGTTGCTTGGTCTGTTAGTGAAACAGGAAATATCCTTCAGGTGATGAACTACTCTGTCATCTTTTCTTTCTAGAACACACTATTTTACTCGTGGACTAGCAGGTTCAATTGTGCCTTTGTTTCCTGATCCAAACAAGCCCTTGTTTTTCACTGCACTAGTTACCGCATGAGACAAATGAATGCATCTATAAACTATTGTGTATGTGAACTACATAATTATACTTTATGTCTTGCAAGCTATTTTAAGAGAAATTTGAATTTTGACTTTATTTACAGAAGCCCAGCTTCTCCCACCCCTTTTGTTGGAAGCAGTGGAAATCAGTCCACCTACATTGGTATGTTCTGATTTATCTTATACCAAAACTTATTTTTGGCAGTCAGCGGGTATCGCAGGTCTATGTTTACTTTTGTGTAGAATTTTTAAAGTCCTCTTTATCCTACTCTGCATTCCCCAAAGAATCTGACTAGATGTTGTTAAATTGTATAATCCTGTGGCTGGATTTTTGTATATGAAATTCTGAAAATGGAAGTTCTATACGGAATTTGACATATTCAGTACTTTGAGGAGTTGATTTTCCTTTATCCTATATCACTTGTCTTTGGCTCTTGCTCAGTAGTTCTCAACTAGATGTGGGCAGGGGGTGTGAAGAGGGTGGCGATTTTGCCTCCTAGGGGACATCTTGCAATGTCTGGACACATTTCTGGTTGTTATAACTGGATGAGAGTGGGGCATTGGCATGGAGTGGGTAGAAGTCAAGGATGCTGCTAAATATCCTACGCTGCTTTTGGACAGCCCCCCACAGCAAGGGATTATCTGGCCCAACATGTCAATAGTGCTGAGGCTGAGAAACCCTGTTGCTGTAGATGATTTCATCTCCTGTAAAAGATAATCCTGAGTAAGGTTACTTCAGTAGCCTTTTACGCCCATCTCAAAGGTAATGCTCAAATGCAGTAATGATGGTCTCTCAGAAATAGTATCTGAACCTTAAAAAAGTCAAGCTTCTCCTGGCCAACTTTTCTGGTATGTAAAACAGAAAGGACAGCCATGTTTTAAATGAAAATTAAGGCCAAAACAAGACAATAATGTTATAATACAATATACATCATGAGCTGACATGAGTAAATGATCGCTTTCTCAGAGTACAGTTGAAGAAAGAGACATGAAAAGAGCTAAAATAATTGTGTTCATCCATGTATTTTTGTACATTGGCACTCGACCAAGTAATCTGAGCTTGGTAAAGTAAATCCTGTATGTTAATATCTGTTCTTGAGAGTGGAGACAACACAAGATCTTTATGGTGCTATGATCCACTGAAATGATGCACTGTATATTCTTATGCATCAGCCTTTTAACAGAGTACAAGGAAACAGTTCTTATATAGGTAGTCATTCTAATTTGCCTGGGTGCTGGGAGAAGCTCCCATACGTTTGCATGAAGTGTTTGTTGAATAAGATTTATTTAGGGGCCGGCCCCGTGGCGTAGCGGTTAAGTGCGCGCGCTCTGCTGCTGGCGGCCCAGGTTCGGATCCCAGGCGTGCACCGACGCGCTTGTCAGGCCATGCTGTGGCGGTGTCCCATATAAAGTGGAGGAAGATGGGCACAGATGTTAGCCCAGGGCCAATCTTCCTCGGCAAAAAGAGGAGGGTTGGCAGATGTCAGCTCGGGGCTGATCTTCCCTACAAAAAAAAAAAAAAGATTTATTTAGGGGCGGGCCCAGTGGTGCAAGTGGTTAAGTGTGTGTGCTCCGCTGCAGTGGCCCGAGGTGCACGGGTTTGGATCCCAGGTGCGCACCGACTCACTGCTTGTTAAGCCATGCTGTGGCAGTGTCCCATATAAAGTAGAGGAAGATGGGCACGGATGTTAGCCCAGGGCCAGTCTTCCTCAGGAAAAAAAAAAAGAGGAGGCTTGGCATCGGATGTTAGCTCAGGGCTGGTCTTCCTCACACAAACAAAAAAAATCAATAAGATTTATTTAGTCTGTTCTTATAATTTTATTTTGGCTTGGTTATAGAAATTTAGGAAATCTAACAGCCAAGAATGAAAGAGGAGATCTAGATTTTCCTCACCTAATTTTCCTAGGTGAAGAAAATTTAAAATAAATCAATTTCACTTATATTGGCCAGCTCATGTATATTGAACAGTTAGGGTGAATATTTTCCAATGAGCGAAGGTATTAATTTGTAGAATTTTTGGACACTTCACCCAGAACCTAGGGCATTTTCTTCATCCATTTCGTTATAACTTTTCCATGATCAGGGATAGCCCACATTTTCCGGAAAGAGGCACCACCTTTACTGACACTTGAAATGGGAAGTGAATGATCAGGAGCTTTATGAGGGGACCTTGTCACGGGTGAAACTATTACAGCAAGTGGTCTAATGCTTCCAGTATGATACTTCCACCTGGATAGACATCCAAGATGGACCTTTTATTAATTAAATACTGTCTTAGAGTAAGTAAATGGTCTTTTTTAACTGGTCATATCCCAGACATGGGCTTTATCTCCCATAAACCTCAGAATGAAGAGAAAATGAAATGTTCCAGGAGCTAGAACTTCGCACCAAGAGCATAGGTTGTATTTGCACTTCAAACAACTTGCTTTGTCCCCATGGGATCTGAGAAGTTTATCTTTCCCATCCTGCCTTCCAACATAACGTACCAAAAATTGGGATTTAGGAATAAAAAAGGTTTGGATATGAGTCCTGTTTGTTAAATAGCATTGAGGAATGTAGGTTTAGAACTATCGGGTGTTTCTGGCTAGAAGCAAGTTTCTTTAGTTTATTTAACATTGCCATGAATGTCAGCACATGCAGTCGCCAAATCACAGCTTCAAGTCTACAAACTGAGTTCTCCGTAACAGGAGCACCGAGGGCTAGAAGGTTTAAAATAGATGTCATATGATACCAATTATAACTCAGTGAAATTTTGCAGTCCCAAGAACCTATACAGAGTGTAAGCCAAAATGGAAGACGGTCCTGTTTTCTATGGCTTTAAAAACATTTTTATTACAATGTTTGCTACTTTTTTTTTCTTCAAGCTTTTAATTAAAGTTTTTTTGGCTCTCCTAACCCATTTCTATATCGTCAAAGGAAATAGAAAAGAAGCGGCTAGGATAGCAGAAGAGATCTATGGTGGAGTTTCAGGTAAAAATACATGAATTTGTTCCCAATACTTTAAAAAAAAAACCTCCTAGATAATTCATGAGTAATGTTTCTAGAAGGCAGATTTTCTTTATACTTTGGCTTTGAGTGGGTAGTTTTAAAAAAGTATTTAAAGTAGCAAATGGTGTTGACTGCACCAATTTGTGAAGGATTTTCAGCTTTATTTTTTGCAAGTTAATAGTTCTATTAGCATTTATTATTTAAGAAGTAAATAGAGTAGTGGCTTTCTGAGAGTATGTTGAGAAACCTCATTTCTACTAAGCAAAAGAATTACTTGTATAGGATTATTTTCTTTAATATTTTTAATCAGACTTTAACAATGCCTTCTAACAAGATTGTTTCCTCAGGAAATAGAAAGACCAATAAATTTGATTTAAACCAGCAAATGTGGCATGCTATATATATTTTTGTGCTGTCATTTGCAATTCAAATTGGCCACTAGTCACTGTCAGGAAAAACCCTTCACTAAACCCGTTTATACTCGGCACCATGCAAAGCACTGCAAACAAAGGTTATTATAATATGAAATGCCAACATTTGGGTAAAACATTTTAAAGGCTCATGCTTTGTAGAATTTAGTCTCCATTTCTTTCAAGAAATGATTCACCTGAATTGTAGTGAGATGCTACAAAAGTAAGTGAACCAGATATCCTTGAAGCTACTGGGATTGTCACTTGATAGAGGAGTATTTATTCATAAACAGAGTTCAGAATTTCCCTGTGTATTTTTAGTGTTCGTAGGGGTTCCAGGATTACATCATTCTTTATCTAGTATCCATTTCAATTTGCATCCAGGATTCTCTTTCAAAATAGACTTATGCTATGTGATTCCAAAATACTGCACAACTTTGAAGACACTAGGTAACAGCAGTCTTATCCAAAGGAGTAAGACCTCCAAAGACGAAGCATCAGAATGCTTCAATTAACTGGGGAAAATGAGAAGAATCTTGAAGTTTCACAAAGTGTCAGACAGCCCGGATTCTGGAAAGAGATTTCTTTTGGGGATTACATTTGTCACACATTTCAGGGAGGTATGTTGCTTAGAGTGGTTAAAAAAATATGTTTTTCTTTCATTCCAAGTTAAGCGTGATCCGAAAAGCTATTTTCTAATTTAATTTGTAAATCTGGGCAGGGGCTTTCCAAAAGTTTCAGTAACACAGTTTTGATGTTCTCATAGACACATCATCCTCATGGTTTAAGTTAGGTAAAGTTCAACTAAGTCAGTATTGGCAAGAGCGTGTTAAAAATGTTTTCCCCTGTTGCTCATGTGCATTATTTCTGTATTCGTGGTCCTTAATGAAGTACACTCATACAAAGTTTTTATAATAGTCAAGACCCATGTTAGCATGGTTCGAATTTAAATCTGGAGCCATAATACAAGTCTCTTAAATAGAACTCATTCATTCTTTAGCCCAAATATCTTTGCTTGTTCAAGCTCCTAGGATAGTATTTATTTAATTTGCAAGTAGCATGGTGTTATAAAGTCAAAAATGTATTTTTCGGTTATCAACAAGAGGCAGGGGGCAGAATAGTGCAAGTTGATTTCTCAGTTTAATTTCCTTCCTATATATGTATATGTGTGGGTAGATGGGTGTGTGTGTATAGGTATACCCACCCATACATATATATAATATGCATATATACATATACACACCCACACATATATGTAATAGAGAGTATATCCAGATTTGGTAAGGCTTTCTATAATAATATAGGCAGTAACATGCCAGAAACAGTGGTTTTTACATGATTCTAACAGCATTTTTTCTTTTGACACTGTTAGCAGGCGGACACTATATACTTAAAGCTAGATGTATTAGAAATCAAGAATAAAATTTTGTGCAAGTGTTCAACTCAAACCAGAAATTACCGTTGCTGCTCATGGGTCAGACAAATGTTTGTTGGGAAAATATGTGACATTTAATCAGTAAGTTAGCTAATTGACTTAGAAAAGTCTCAGCCCAAGGTTAAATTTCTTGATTCCAATGGCATATTATGTTCCTGTAAGCTATCACCGGCGCTGTCAAAAACAAGGGGAGGGCAGTAAAAAACTCAGCCAGGGCAGAGTTTAGCCTGTCACAGGTCCTGGCACTCTTTCTTTTGGAAGCTACACCTAACATCATATCCCTCATTAAATATCATTTTTTTGGCCATAAAATCTTTTGGAAAATTACTTTTTATTCTGGAATTTCACATTCTGGAATATATCATTCAATATGTCTTTGTGGTTTACACTGTTACATTTGTAGCTAACTCATCAGAATTGAGTTCAACTATGGTTGGCTGTTATTTGTTTTGATTTTTCAGGCTTCTTTGTGTAATATGTCAATAATATATATACTTTTTTAAGTTTGACACATTGTCACTGGCCCTTGGCATTCCATCTAGAGCACCAGATGGCTCACTGGATCCCACCTTCAGCCCATAGATATTTCTGCAGGCACTATCTTTCTCCCGAGAGACTTGTGTATGATTTTTCAACGTTTGCTAATTTGGCCAGAACTGAAGCTATATTTAGTAGAGTGACTTGGTCATCAAACTTGATAAAAATAAAGTGCAGATACAGGTTGATAACCTATTATTCACAACCCTTGGGCCAGGCATGTTTCAGGATTCAGGAGTTTTGGGGATACTATAAAGATTATACAGTGTGTATTTATATATCACACAGTATTCCAGCAGGGCCAGGAGCTGCCTCCCATAGTCAAACATTTTGATATTTCTATAGTGAACATATAAATATTCACACTAAGTGAAAAATACAAATAAAAATAATAAATTGCTTAACCTGAGTCCTGATCATGTTTTGCTGCCAAAGGAGTTTGCATCAAACTTGGGAAAAAACTGGGTTTTCAGAATTCGGGATATTTTACAATTGCGGGTAAGAGATTGTGGAACTATTGTACCCTTTTTTTTTAAAAAAAAAAAAAAGCTATTTTATGCTAAGCCTAAAAGATTAATTCTATTCTAAGTGTTACACTCAAAATCAGTTGTCTTTGTTCTCAATTCAAAGGACTGACCTTGATTTGATGGCCACGCCTCTGCCTGCCTCATCATCCTGACTCCTTTTTCCTATCCTTCCCATTCCGACAGGATTTTCCTGCCTTTTCTTCCATTCTTGCCCAATCCTCTACCTAGCCTTCTCTTGTTCAGTTTTGCTGATTGTCTCCTTAAGCCTTGGCCCAACTCCTTCTGAGTGGTTACACATCAAAGGTGCCTGCTGGCTTGCCCAAGTTGGGACAAGCAGTCCTCAACAGGGGCTCTGCCACCCCACCTGTCACCTTTAGCTCAGCTCTCCTGCTCCTGATGGGTTCAAAGGAAGCTTCTTTCCAACACACTACAAAAAGGTGCTTATTGACTGTGTTTCATCTCCTGACCAGAACTGAGTGTTCTAGAGATTATGCATTTTAACTCACTTTTATTATAATATTTTAGATATCTCAAGAAATTTATTATAATATGGTTTTCTCCAATTACCTTTGTTATACTTAAAATATCACTAATTCTGCGGGGCTCTTGCCTATATTTTGGTTCAAAATTGAAATTCCTTTTGAATTTTCTTTTTCTTTGATAAATGCTACAGGAGAAGATATTGCTTCATATGATTTTGGAACTTAATAAAGAGAATAAAGATTGTTCCCTGTGCACTAGAGATTATAACCAGCTAGGTGATTTTTTAAAATTAAAAATAAGCCAGTAAGCTCAAGTACTTGTTGGAATTAAGAAGAGTAAAAATTGCAAAAAAGAATTTAAAAATAATAACTGATTTTTATCTTGAATACTTGAAACTCAACTATATTCCATCTGAATCGATTTTGTTATTGAAATGTATGGTTTTAGAACTTGTCATAAAATTGTTATTCAGAGGGTCTGAGAACTAGAGATATAAATCACATTCTGAGAAAAAGTCAGAGGGAGGAATGAAAAAGTGCTTGAACATTTTCCATACACCTCATCAGGAACGAGTAAACATATTTGTAGGGTAAACTATCTTCCTAGTGTGCTTTGCAGCCCTGTGACACAGGCAGTCTGCCAAATAGCTAAAAATAGACTGCCTTAGAAGAGCGTGATTGATTCCTACTTAAGCATTCATTTATTTGGAGAGCTTAGTTGCATATTTCCCAAAAGGAATGGAAAAACTCCCTAGCTGCCAAATAACTTTTATCCTTAATTTCTCACAATTAGCTTTAATTTGCAAAACAAGAATGATAAGAGTGAGAGACTGTGCGTTGGGAATTAAGAACAGAAAAACAGGAGGGCCTGTGGCAGAGGAGGGCCGGAAACTGTGGCAGAGTTTCTGGAAAAGGGTTTCGTGTGAAAACTCTTCAAGGTCCTTTGAAGCAAGTGCTGGAAAACAATGTGACTGGAAAGGTGACTTCCTGGAGAGTGATTTTGTTTCCAGTTGGGAAACAAAAATGATTTCTACATTGAAGGTGATACAATTGATTTATTTCACATTATTTATAGAGATAAGGTGGATATAGCAAAACATCCCAGACAAAATCTACCAGGAGGATAGGTAGAATTTAAAAACCGATAGTTCTTAAAACCAGAGCAGAGTGTGTTCTGAAATCACAAAACTTTGGATTTCAGTACTATTTCTGCCACTTACTAGAAGTGAGGTCTCTTCATGTGCGGCAAAGGAGTGTCAGGCATTTGGGGTGTTCCGGTTCATGAAGCAAGGCTCTTCCCTTCCCTCCTCTCTTGAAAGCCAAGGGATGGGGGCTCCAGGAGAAATACAAGTTCAGATAAGGGGTGCCTGAAATGAGGGGAGCCTGGTATTTCACTCTCAAGTTGGAAGTCTGCTTAGGCAGACAGCTTACTGAACTGCCCCCTGTGCTATTCAAATAGGTGAAGAGAGAATTGGAAAGCAGTGGCGTGTTGAGAGAGAAGCCCAGGACAGCTCATCATTCCCTCTTTCTTGGTGGAGTAGAAGATGGCCGTACAGGCTTACCGCGACCTCAGAAGCACAGGGTGGGAGTTGGGGGCATCAGAAGGTGCTGCATTGATGGGGGCCACTAGGAGAGGTGGTCAAATGCCAATGCATAGGAAAGGGGCCTGGGAGTGAGCCCTGGTGCGAAGGATAAGCCCGCAGACCAGGAGTGAGACCTGCAGTTGAGGCCAAGCAAACAGGACTGGCCTCTTCTTCCAGTTAACTGGGGAAACATCTTCCCTGTCCCTCTTGCTTCTCCCCACCCCTAAGGCACCAGAGGAGCTGGCACCTAGAAGAAGGAGGTGGAGACGTGTGAGAACATGCCACTCCTCCATCTTCAGCTGCTTGGGATGGCACAGAGGGCCATACCCTGCCCTGGGAGTGGGCAGAGGAGCGGAGATTACAGTTTTACAGTGGACTGACCAGTAGACCGGTTGTTTTAAAATCTCTTTATTGAAATACAATGTAAATACAGACAAGTGCACAAATCCTAAGCGAACAGCTGGATGAATTTTCACAAAGTAAACACAATCAGGTACTAGCTCCCAAGAGCAAGAAAATGCATATTATCAGCATGGCCCCCACCATGCCCTCTTCCAGGCAGCCCTCGCCCCTCCTTGGGGTCCTTTTGATTCTTAACACCCAAGGTGAGTCTGACCCCCTTTTGAATTTTGTAGAAAGGAATCACACAGCACATGCTCTTTTGTGTCTGGCTTCCTTCACTCAACATTAGGTTTGTGAGATCTATCCAAGTTGTGTGCATGGAGTGGGTCTTATGGGACTGGCGAGTAACAGAATGTTAGTAGAAATAGGATGAAGATGTGGTTAAGGTTGCTGCTTCCCAGAAGGAAAGGGGACACCACAGCCCACTTGGAGGCAAGTTTTAGAAACAATAAAGCCATTTCACGTTGATATTCTAAGTTAATAATAGCAAGTTGCCACATAAATCTTGTTTTTATTTTTGAATCGAATACTTATAGTACCTTTAGGTGGCTCAGGTTGACTGGCTATTATTAGAACAAAAGAATAACAAAGCCATGGCTGTGGGTTTGCTTCTTACATTGGTGAGGATGCTGAGTTGCCACCCATGGATGAAGACCGTCCTCACAACCCCGGTGCCTGCGACCATTTCAAAGACCAATTAGGCAAGAGGGCAACATATCTGACGCACGCTTCATATTGAATGAGATGGAGATGTATTAGAAGAAAACCAAGGCTGACTAATTGAGGATTATATGCATACGTTATATTCCCAGTTTATGCAAATTATAAATGTCCAAAGAGATTTAAAAATACTCCACTCATCAACTTTTAACTGACTCAGGAACAAGTGGAGGTACAAATGCAATATATTTTCATTTTAAAATTTTTATCTCTTTTTCTTATAAAAGAATTACACATTCATATCAGGAGAATGGAATCACCAGTGATTTTATATATATACATATATATGTACATATATATATATATATATATATATACTTTTTATTTTGAAACTAATTTCAAAATGATAGACAAGTTACAAGAGTGGAACAAAGAATTCCCACTTCTCTTCGCCCAGAGACCCCACTCGTGTTTACCCACCTGTCCTAATAATGCCCTTGAAAGCAAAAGGACCTAATCCAGGCGCACACATTGTCTTTAGATGTTGTCTCTCGTCAGCCTCCTTCAATCTGGAACAGTTCCTCAGTCCCTTCTTGAACTGGTTAAAGGCCAATTATTCTGGAGAATGTCCCTCAGTTTGAGTTGGTTCGCAGTGTCCTCATGATTAGATTCGGGTTATGCATCTTGAGCAGGAATATCACAGAAGCAATGATGTGTTCTTTTCATTGCGTTCCCTCTGGTAGTACATGATGTCACTCATCACGTTCCATCCAATGGCACACTGTGCCAATTTGTTCCACCACTTCTGATGTTAACTTTGATTCTCTGGGTGAGGCGATGTCTACAATTTTGTTGCACTGTAAAATTACCCCTGTTTCCTTTATAACTAGTAATTATTTTGTGAGGAGATAATTTGAGGCAGATTCTATTATTTCTTCTACATTTCTAAGTTGGTGTTCTACTATGAGGAAGAGCTTTCTCATCTCCCTATTTATGTATTTATTTGTATCAATGAGGACTTATAGATTCCTATTTTATTTGATAGGGTATAATTTCTTACTATCATTATTTATTTTGATGTACAGATTGTTCCGTATTGCCCAGTGGAATCCCTTTCAAGCCAGCTTCGTGTCTTTTTGACATTTCCCATCATTCATTGAGCTCTTCCTTACTTTCTGCAAGGTGTTTGAAATCCATCTTATATTTTTCCTGGCCCAGCCCTGGAACCAGCCATTTCTCCAAGGAGCCCTGGTTTAGATTTACTCAGTACACAGTGCTAATATTATATAGATATAGATCTCACCAGATGGATCGCCAGATCCCACCTTCAGCCCTTAGATATTTCTGTATATTTCTATCTTTCTATATACACACACATATTGAAAATCACATTTTCGTACCAATTTCTCCAATTTCAATCCCACCCTGTAGAATTCATTCGAGCTTTCTCCCTTTTCATAACCCAAAGAGTTAGAAAAGATAAAAATTGTTTCAATACAAGAAGAGGGCTTATGGAAGTGTTTATAGCCCTGGTTCTCATCCATCGAAAAAGTTTACACTCTCCTTGAGGCCTTGAGCTATTTCAAATTTACATAATTCCATCTTTGGTGGGATTGTTTTTGCCAAGGTTGCAGGTATGGGAAAACCCGGATTCTTAATACCAACAGGATCACCTAGAAAATGTTGATAAGATGAGCCCTTTGTGTTAAATCCAAATTGTATTACAAGCTATTCAGTGTACAAAGAGCACAGTTGTAATTTGAAGAATGCCCAAATTTTGCAAACCAGAGTGGGTTGTCTTCAAAACAAATGATTGCCCTTTGGCATGTTTAATAGAGGGTTACTTCTCAAATGCCCATTTAAGCTGGTTTGCTGATAAGCAATTATAAGAAAAATAGGTTTGTAAAGCAGTTCTGTGGCTGTTCCTTAGAGCACTGCCCTACCATGTGTACTTATTAGTCATAAATTGTCTTGAGCACCTAATATCGTGGATGTATTTTATTGGCCTACTTAGAGACCAAAGCACTTGCTAAATACTAGATTGCTATACTTCTATTTCACAGATCACGAAATTGAGGTTCGAATAATTTTAGTAACTTATCTATATTGGCAGAGAAAATGGTTGAGGTGGGACTAGGACCCAGGCAGTGTGGCTCCACTGGCCCCATACTTAGCCATCACGCTCAACCGCCAACAAAAAAACTTTTGGAGGATTATGTCATCTGAAAAATGACATTCTGCATTATGATAATAGATAGGCTTCATTACCAAAATGAAATAGAGACAATTACCTAGGGAATTTAGAGCAAAACCATTTTCCCTGATCCCTTAGAGTCTCCTTCTTGGGGTATAGGATGTGAGTCTTTAAGGTAGGCGTGAGCATGAGAGGCAGGGGTATGATGAGAACGGGGAAGCTCACTGACTGGCTTTGCCCTTCATTTTGCCTTAGTTAGAGTTATCGGATTCAACACTGGGCAATATTTATTTGAAGTAAATCTATTTCTTGTTAAAACTTCCCCTGAAACACCTGAGAGATGGTCTGTTCTTCCCCCTCCACACACACCACCAAACTAATGGACTGCACACTCCGTGGCTTGTCACCCTGAAAGTGGCTGATGAGAGAGCCTGATGCATGGTGTAAGACTCTCTCCTCTTCCCCCAAACCTCCTCTCACAGTAGGTGGGCACACGAACAAGCTGGAGGAAGAAAACTCCAGACCTTGACTTTGAGCTTGATTTGTGTTTCAGATTGCTGGGCCGATCGATCCCCACTTCACGAAGCCGCGGCACAGGGGCGCTTACTGGCCCTTAAAACTTTAATTGCACAAGTAAGTAAACTGAAGACTTGATCCTTTGTGCTTGTGCCATAATCAAGCAGCACTCTTGATTAGCTTTGACTGCAGCAGAGGTCTTGCTTGCCCCAACTGGGTCTCAGCACGGCCATTCTAGGTGTATGTATCTTCTCACAGCTCACCATTTGTGTGGCTCCTGCCTCTCCTTTCTTGGGGAGCTGGCTCATTTTCTGTCCAGTTCTATCTTTCCCCTTCTGGATCTTCCTTTGCTTCATAGAAAGTTTCCCTGTGAGGCTGATGGGGAGTACCCTCAAATTTATGTTGCACTAGCTCACCTTATACTCTCCCAGTGTGCCTTAGTGAGGGCAGCCCTGAAGTTACATCAGTCAGCTATTGCTCTGTAACAAATTACCTCAAAACATAGTGGCTGAAAACAGCAAATACTTAGATTCTCATGGCTTCTGTGGGCCAAGGAGCAACTTAGGTGGGTGGTTCTGGCTCAGAGTCTCTTGCAGGATGCAAAGTATCAGCCAGGGCTGCAGTCATTTCATAGCTCGACTGGGGGAGGATCTGCTTCCAACCTCGCTCATGTGGTCGTTGGCAAGCTTCAATTCCTTGCCACGTGGGCCTCTCCATAGAGCTGCGCCATGAGATGGCAGCTGGCTTCCCCAGAGAGAGCACAAGAGAGTGCCTAAGAAGGAAGTCTTACCTAATCTCCAAAGTGACATCCCATCACTTCTGCCACATTGTGTTGCTTAGATGTGAGTCAATTAATCCAGCCCACACTCAAGGGCAGAGGATTACATAAGTGAGCCAACACCAGGACTCAGGGATCACTGGGAGCCATTTAGAGGCTGCTACCCTGATGATACACTATTTTAAGAGCAAACATTAAAATAGCTTGACAAATGGGTAAATCTTACTGTTTTGGGAAGATTTATTAAAGGTGTAGTTATTAAGGCTACTTTATTTTTATTTATGACTATATCCCTAGCACCTTGAACAATGAATAGCAGCCTAGTAAATATTCATGAAATGAATGGAAGTTTACACGCTCCATTTGCTTTGTTTGTTTTAGAGTCCACGTGTGTACAGAGGAGGTGAGTGAGTCATTATATCTTTTTTCCACATCCTAGGTACCACTGAACCTGCCTTCCTTACCTTTTTAACTTTAAACAGCTGGGCACACTGCTCTTTGTGTGTGCGTGTGCCTTTTTTTGTCCTTGATGAGTTGTGTTACTTCTCAAGAAAGAGACAAAAGGAAAACAGTCCTGCCAGTAATGATCAAATACGCTTTGTACTTGATTTTATCACTTGCTTATTTATTTTTAAATACTTTAAATTTGATTTGATTATTTTTAATATGTAATATATTCACATAGTTCAAAAATTAAAATGATATAAAAAGGTCCACAGTGAAAAGTCTTGCAGCCACCTCCTCCCTCTCAGCCCCCCCAAGGATTTTATTAGTAATTTCAATAAGCTTTTTATTTTGGAAGAATTTTAAAGAAGAGTTGCAAAGATGATACAGAGGATTCCTGTATACCCTTCACCCAACTTCCCCTAGTGTTAACATCTTACACAACCCTGGTACTTGAGTCCAAAATAAGAAATTAACATTGGGACAATACCATTAACTAAACTACAGACCACTGGGATTACACCACTTTTCCCACCAGTGTCCTTTTTCTCTTCCAGGATCCAAGCCAGATACCACATTGCGTTTGGCACTTGATTTGTAACTATACTTCATAAGCATGTTAGTTTCTATAGTGGGCTTAAATGTGTAAGGAGCATTCTTCATAGAGAAGTTCAACCTTTCCTTACTGCACCTCCGCTTCTTTACCCTTACACATTAGCCAAAAATGTATTATTCTACTTCAGTGTGTACTTTATTTCACATTAAGATAGTGTGGTGTGCTGTGAGTTAAACATTAAACCAAGGATCAGGAGCTCCTGATTAGCATGCTGGCTGTCACCGACAGCTGGGGAGCCTCAAGTCTTATTAATAATTTGAACTTTCTGCTTCTCCATCTTCTCATGCACAATGAAGGTGATTCACTCTAGATGGTCTTTCAGGCCTGTCCAGCAATACATTTCTACAGTTCCAGGGATTCTGAGTTTGCACCGGATTCAAGTTTTTTCTAGCACGTTGCTGCCACCTTGTGGACTAGCCTATTTTACTTATTTTCTTAAAAAAATCTTATGTGGGAAAAGGGAAAGGAAAAGACTTTTCTAGTTGTATTAGATATCCAGTTCGAAATATATAGCACAGCTCTGGAGTAATGATATGATATTGATATGATAATGATAATGATATTGATAATGATATTCAGGACATGAAAATGGACAGGACCAAGGAAGCCTTGAGAGGCCCTCAGCTGAAGGGACAGGCAATAGTGGGAAGTCCCAGCTGCTGGCCACAGCAGGGATGCAGCCAGCGCCACGAGATCTGGCAGGAGACCGTGGGAACTTGGGTTAGAGGTTGAGCTCCAAGGTCATGCACTAGGTTTTGAAAGCTTTCAGCAGCTCACTTATGAGGTAGAGAATCAAAAGCAGAATTCAGCTAGGAAGGATCAACCAGGGACCTAATTTCTTTCACAGATAGAAAGTGGTAACCATGGGAGAAAATGGTAAGGGCCAAGTTTTTAAAATCAGAGCATGAAGTCAGTTGGCCAGCAGCTAGGCTGATCCTGTCATCTACCACATGGCTCCAAGACAAGGAAGGTGGAGCACAGCAATATGGAGAGGGGGAATGTGCTAGGACTGGGTAGGGAGATGGGGTCAGGAGAAGCCCCTGTCCCCAGACCCTGGTACTTCAGAGACCTCTCCACGCAGTGGAGTGAGGCAGACAGCAGTGCTGCTACTATGGCGTATGAATCCTAAGAGCACTCTCTACTTTCTCCTCTTAAGCCTGGGAGCCATTCTCCTGTCCCAAATCCAATTCTACCTCCTGAACTTCTTGAGACTCCATCACCTACTCTTCATACCCACTCCTGTTCACTCCCATATCAGGCCCATATCACCCTGGGCCTGGACTCAGACCAGGCTCTCCTTCCTTCCTTCAGTCTCACATCTCTACCTCTCCAAGCAACCCTCCACTGTGCTACCAGTGTGCTTTTCCTAAAATGTCTAATACATTAGCTCCAGACCTTCCATAGCCTAATAGACTTGAAAGGTGCCTCATTCCCTATAAGACATTTCCTTGTTTGGAAATCAAGGCCTTTCACAATCTGGCTCCAGCTCCCTGTCCCCCTTCATCTCCACCCATCTCCTAATTCTCCTTTCTTCTTCTGCCTCTAACACGTGTGGGCTCTTTATGATCTAGAAATACCCAACTAGTCAACTGTGGCCCTGCCACACTCCCTGGTTGCTTCTCGTATTTGCATATGCTGTTCCTTCCTGATGGAATATTCTTTCTTTGCCTTCCTAGCTTGAAATGTTTTGCGCTTCAAGCCTTAGCTAAATACGACCTCACTTGCAAAGTTTTCTCTTATTCCCCAAGCCAGATTGAAGGATACCCCATGCTCCCAACTGAAATTTGAACATGCTTCCATTATAGCAATATTCTTGCTGGTTTTTTTGCCATTTCTGTCTCCCCATTAGGCTCCTGGAGGAGAGAGACTCATCTCATAAGCTTTGAAGAGATGGGTCTAGCAGATTGCCTGGCCTAGAATGCTGACTAAGCCTTTGTTATATAAATGAATTTGAGGCTCCCTGCAATGCTTCTTAGACTCCCCTGGTCAGGGCCTCTACTCCTCTCTATATGGTGCTGATATGATACCCACAGGCTGTGAACACTTCAGAAATACGTCCAACAACGTTGCTTTTATTGCTATTGCTAGTGCAGTCTTTAACTCACTTCTCTCCAAATTGTAGGGTGTCAATGTGAACCTCGTGACAATTAACCGAGTCTCTTCTCTCCACGAAGCGTGCCTTGGAGGTCACGTGGCCTGTGCTAAAGCCTTATTGGAAAATGGCGCCCACGTGAGTACCACCCCAGCCCCCGAAGGTCTATCTGCCCAGGTACAACTGCTGCCGTCTAAAGAGACCTTACCTTCCTGCTTACCCACTGGGGGTGCACGCAGGTTGGGCCCCAACCACGTTCATAGTCCTGAATGGTCAGGAAGACACTGCCCCTTACTCCTCTGTTCAGCCTCTCTGCCCATGTGCGAACATTCACATGAGGTAATTCACAGGAATCTTTCAAAATTGTGATGCTGACTTAAAAAAAATCAGCTTGAACTAAAGTAATTTGAAAACCAATCTTGGAAAATTTATTGTAAAACATTAAAAAGAACATATTTTAAAGGAACAACGACAGCAAAAAACCTTTCTTAATTCAACACCCTAAACCAACAACCTTTTTTACTGAGCAAAATTATCAAACTAAATGAGCTTTTAATAAACAATACATTGAAAAAAACTACAAAATTAACTTTATCTTATTTTTAAATTCTGCCCTCTTTTCAAGGAGTGACTGAGGTGCTGTATATAATACAGATATCAGAATCGAATTATAAAATTAAAACTTTTGAAAATCTCAGTGACATTTATTTAGTTGCCAGATATTGTTTTATTGCTAATTTTGTCTTTTAACTCAGTCCTTGCGTACTTTGTTTCATGAGCTTCAGTGTTTTTAAGTGCTTAATGAAGATTTTCATTGCATTTTATATGGAAGCTGGATTTCTGAATATAGAAGTCGTCCTTGGGCAAAGTGATTTTCCTGGTGCCGTAGTGGTGGTGTATTTTTATTAGGTAGTGCTTCTTTAAATGACCACTCAGTTAACGCACATATGATGATGAGGGCCAGGTTGGGTGAGGACCATTTCCGTTCAAGCTGGATGACTGGAGTCGCAGGCAGACTGTTGGTGGGAAACATCAAACAGCATCGGGTGAGAGAGGAATGTGTGCTGGTACAACTCTGGGAGCTTTGGTGGGGGACAAAGAAAAGAGGAAGACGTGGTCCCTTGTCTTTGAGAATCTTATGAGGGAACAGTCGATAAATATTATATTATTTAACATTCAAATCAGAGTGAGAGAAGGAATAAGAGAAAGTCGGTCAATCAGTAGAAAATTCCTCAAAATTGGCAATCTCATGGATATCTGAAACTCAATGCATCCATGTCGTGCTTATCACGTTGTTCCCTCTGGGACCGGTTCCTCCTCTTGGATTCCCAGCCTCAGAGACCAGGGAAAACATATTCCTGGTTTCCTAAGCTCCAAACCTGGAACCATCGTATTTCTTCCATCTCCCCATCTAATCACAACATCCTGCTAATTTTACTTTCTAAATATTTTTCAAGTCTGTGGTCTCCTTTGTCCTGCTCCTATAGTGATCTCAAGCATTTATTATTATATCAAAATTATCTCTTTTTGTCTTTGCCTTCCCTGATAGACTTCAACTTATTCAAGGAGAGGCAATTGTCTTACTCACCTTTGTTTCCAAAACATTGGCACCTAATAGGTGCTCAATAAATGTTTGCTGACCTGAACCGAGAGAGAAACTTATAAGAAATCAAATCAGAAGACTTCCTGGACTGAGAATGAGGATGATACCTAGTAAAAACAAATCAAACAGTTCCACCAAATATTTTTCAGTAAAAATGTAAATCAGTTAGAAATCCCTAGGGTGTATAAATTTACACACATTTTTTTCCTGTCCTTGTCTGTCTCTGCCTTCTTAGCATCTCATCTTTAACTTCCCAATTTAATAGGGGCTATCCTGGCACTGTGGAGAAATCTTTTTTGTTTCTGAAACAAGGAAATTTAGGCTCCTGATTATCACAATCATCTATCCTTAGTTGAGGCAAAAATGGTTTGACATCAAACCCTCATTGTCCTATATTCCAATCCTATCAGAGCCTTCCCACCAGAATGCCTGGTTCCCTGATGTTCTTTCCAAGCTATTTCTAATACTCAAAGATGCCTTCCAGCTGTGCTGGTGCTCACATGCCTCCCACATCCCCAGAAGGCGTCGAGAATGGTTGGAAACACCATGTTGATGGCTATTTTCTTTGTGCCTTTGGCTTGGTTGTGATCGCTTTAGGAGTCACTGCTGGCATATGCAATTTGTATGGATTATAGTAGACTTGAAAGGAAATTTGTAGCAAGAAAGAAAGAACTACGGGGGAATTGCTGAGATTTTTGCAAGCACAGATTTTGGGACCTTAAACTAGCTGGTTTCTCCAATACATTTGGTTCCCGCCATGTTTATTCATGATTGGGAGGGCGAGTCAGCTCCATAATAATGGAAAATGGAAATAATTGTTATTGCAAACGTTTATTGAATGCTTACTTGGCACCAGGCAATGTTATAAGTATTCAACATGTAGTAACTCATTTAATCTGCCCAATAACCTCATGAGGTAGATTCTTATATGATTCTTATTTTACAAGTAAGGAAACCAAGGCACAGAAAGTTAGTATCTCAAGCAAGATCTCTGAACAAATAAAAGAGAGAGAGCTGGGACTTGAACCCAAGCTAATGATTCCAGAGGCCATGTTCTTAACCACCATACAGGACCACTCTTCAATGATTAGGAGGCTCCCCAGAAGCTCTGGAATACCCATAAGTACATTTTAAAAGCTTTGGCCCATTTTGTCCCACTTGTGGTATTATTTATAGGTGAGAGTTGATAGGCTACTGGTGCCTAAAAAACATAATACTGTAATGATGTAGAGTTCCCTCGCTCATTCACCAGCATGTAAAATTTCTCCAGGCAGATACATAGGAATACACACTTGGAGAAGATAATGAAATAGCAAATCCTCTGGGTCTCTCTCTGCCCATCATTAGGTCAATGGAGTGACAGTCCACGGAGCCACGCCCCTCTTCAATGCTTGCTGCAGCGGCAGTGCTGCATGTGTCAACGTGCTGCTGGAGTTTGGAGCCAAGGCCCAGCTCGAGGCACACCTGGCTTCACCCATCCATGAGGCAGTGAAGAGAGGTAAATGAGTCATCACACTGTATACAAAACATTGGTGGACTCACCCCAATCTGCATGAATCAATGCTATTGTGTTCACCATGAAAGTATCACCCAGATCTTCTTCACCAGTAGATTGTGTGTGGCTTAGAAATCTCACAGCAGTAACTTCAATTTGCCTAAATCTTCAGAAAATACCACTGGGGCATAAAACAAGTCTTCTTATAACCTGGAAATGGCTTTCTATCTCAGATGTCCGGTTGCATGAGGACAGTCTCTTGCAGGCGTTTCTTGAAGCTCTTTGCTGGAGTTTTGGTGGCAGCTGGTGCAGTCAAGACTGCAGGGGTGACTTCCATGAGTTGTACTGTGCTTATGTCTCTGTCCTTACTAGAAAAGAACAGCTCATCCCCCAAAGCCCATAAAACATCAACCACTAACATAAAATAAATTATGAAAGTGTCTGAAAGCCGAGGATGATAGTTTCTCTAATGGAAGATTAAATGTAACTGTCCACAACAAGCAATACACTCTAGATAAGCTGATGACTTCAAGGTCATTAGCTATTGGCAAAAAAGTTGTAACTTTAAAAAGAATGGCATTGGAAATCTTGAAGTTGACTGTAAACTCCTGTGTTCTCAGTTACTTTTGAAATGAGGGAAAAGAGTAAATTTAGGAAATTTTAAAACTATATGCATAGTCTAGACATGAACAAGAAGATGCCATTGAAAGGCCAAGGCCATTTGTCAAAGATCACATCCAAAGAGCAATATTTCTGTGTTACCCAGTGGTGGAGTTATTCTCTTATATTGAGATCAGAAATACAAGGGACAAGTTAGAACATTGTAGAACAGTGATCTTTGCTGGTATAATTGGGGATGGAAGTGTTTATTTCAAAAGGCAATAGTGAAAGATTTGCCCCAGCTTATTAAACATGTCACTTGGTAATTTTTTTTTGCAGTGGACTACTTTAAATGATAACAAAGGACCCAAATCTCAATGTATCTATGGTTTTGATGTCTTATACATATTTAATAAAAACTTATTGATTAATAACTGATGGTCATTTCCCAAACTCCAAATAAGTCCTTTAAGTTGTAGGGAAATAGTCTACTTTGAAAAGATATAAAACTCTTAAAAATTTTAATATTGATTTGAAGTAAAAATTAATTTATTATTTTCATTTCCATCGAAACATTTAAAGAGGGATAAATATTGGGAATGGTTTAGATTACTTAAGTAATTCTGCAATACTCGTATGGTTATATATGGAGTGTTTGGTATCTATGTGCCTACAAAATATATGTACCTACTTATCATAAACACATGAATTCACGTGTCTCTACATGTTTTTTTCTGTATCATAAAAGCATGTTAGGAACCAACGTCCACAGAATGAAAGGATAAATAGCAAATTCTTTATTTTAGATACTGTTATATTAGTGCTAATCATTTGACTTTTATATGTTCGTTTTTTAAAAACTTCCTGAGAATACTTAAATTTAACTCAAACTAGGCTCAGTTTCTTTTTCTACAAAAAAAAGAAAAAGGACAGGAATTATTCAAAAATGTTTATTAGATGCCCTGTATTTACCAGGCAGTTTTAGGTACTGATTAGATATTATTTCTGGATTCTTACAGCTTTAAACCTCTATGAACAAGCTGGGTCAGTCTGAGTCAATACTTTGCAACATTGATGCTATAATCCAGGTATAATATTTACTTACGTGAACAAATAGTTTGAATCCACAGAATCCTTACTTGTACCTTTTAAGGCATATTTATACTTAATTCAGAATTTGTGATAAATCAAGCAGGTTTTAGATGAGGCTTACTTATATGTCATCTATAAAGAAAAGGTTGGTTAAGTTAATCGGTGATGATAAGATTTTTTAAGGAAATTTAAATCTTCAAAGAGAACAAACTCTACAAGCTCCTGTCCATACCTCAGAAGTGTTTGCTCCTGAATGAATCATTCATACGCTGCAAATTAATCATGTCTGTCTATTCATTGGGCAAACTCTTTAAGGAGAATACTTGCTCACATAGTTCTTGTTAGCCACTGAATTTGAAAATGCATTTAAATATATTCTACACTTCAGGCTTTTTATTAATTCTCATGAGTGTCTTCCAGGTTAACCCAAATAGGGAAGTTTTACTGCAGGGTGCAGCCATACACCCAATCTTGCCTGCCTGGGTGAAGAAGAGAATGAGAAATTTGTAATGGAGAGAGATTGGGGCTGGGATCTGAGCATTGGCTTTTCAGGTTAATAATAGGATGAGTCATTTACCCCTCTGGGCCTTGTAGCCTCTATTAGTAAACTGGTGGCTTCATTCTAGAAAGTGATTTCAGCTGTGCTCCTTGGAACCCTTAGTTTAGTTGAAGGTGCCTCAAGGGCTGCAAAGAGGAATTTAAGTGGGGGGAAGCATGGGCATATTCCTCTTTTTAATGGTTTTATTTTGGAGATTTCAAAAAAAATTTTTTTTCTGCTTAAAAAAAATCTAGGTCACTTCTAAAGCCCATTCCAGATAAGCAGTCCTATAATTCTGTGAATAGTCACTATTTCCCTTACTTGAGTGAGGTTATCTTGTGTTCCACCAGGTCATAGAGAGTGCATGGAGATTCTGCTTGCAAATAACGTTAACATTGACCAAGAAGTGCCTCACCTTGGAACTCCCCTGTATGTGGCCTGCACCTACCAGAGTGTAGACTGTGTGAAGAAACTTCTAGAACTAGGTAACCTCCAGAAATCTTTTCATTAGAAGAACCTGTTAATTTTGTTGGTTTTCCATGGCTTCAAAGATCAAGTTCTTGTCAGGCTGGAGAAAATTCTAATAGCATTTGATGTTTGAATGCTTAAAACCGAACTTATCCAGAGAAATGAGTGTCTGTATTTCTCAGTTCTGCTTCCTTTGATATTGGCTCCATTTACCTGGTATGGTCTCAAGAGAGAGCAAGAGTCTCTTTCCCATAAGTCCTAGGGGAAAAAAACAATTGTATTTCATTGGCTCTTTTTGAGTCACCAATCATGGTGGCCAAGGGAATACAATGCACTGATTGGCTTAGGCCTGGATTTGTCTACACTGCAGTTGCTGGGCCTCACTGGAAACACAGGACCTAGGAAATCACAGGGGATGGTTCCCCAGAGGAAACTCTACATGTGGTTACCAGGAAGATGCCGGATAGTAAAAACAACAGACATTTGCCGTAGACTACTTTAGATCAATCCTGCTAAGTTATTTAGTACTTTTTTAGTTCTATAAAGCGTATACAGAAACTGAGAGTCCAGGGAAAAGTAAAATGTCTTGAAACTATTATTTGGTTAAAGATTCCCCAAACTTAGCCACTGACATAAAGGTGGAGATTACATAAAGGCTCTTACCTTTAAATAAGAATTTTTATCTCCAAGATTTTTTTTTTGTCTTTTTTATCTGCCATCATTTACTACTCCCTATAGTAGTTCAGAAATCTTTTTAGTGAGCTCTGAATAATATAAATAATAAACTTTAGCTTTATCCTTTGCCCAAAAACAAAATAACCCTATGTAAAAGGAGTGCAAATATTTAATTTTGTATGTCACAGAGTTCACATGGGAAAGCAAGTGACGTATTTAAAATGACTAGAAATATTTTTATTCACTTTTCTCATCAAAATATTTTTAAACAGTCTTCATAGGCATTGCTGAGGTTCTAGGCTTACATCACATATTTTCAAAGATTTGTCAAATATGTCATGGCATTGAAGATGTCTTGATCTACAGCTACTATATTTTAGGTTCATTGTGTTTCTACATTAACATTTACTGTTGAATTGTGGCCATCTGCTTTGTTAAGGAGCCAGTGTTGACCATGGCCAATGGCTGGACACCCCCCTCCATGCCGCCGCGAGGCAGTCCAGCGTGGAAGTCATCCACCTGCTGATGGACTATGGGGCTAACCTGAAGTGCAGAAACGCTCAGGGCAAAAATGCACTTGATCTGGTGGCTCCGAAAAGCAGTGTGGAGCAGGCGCTCCTGCTCCGTGAAGGTAAGGAAGGGCTGGGTGTCCATTTCTCTTCCACAAGCACATCTGCTATCTCTCCTTCCTGTCTCATCCCTAGAATTTCTTATCTGTTTCCTTATCTCTTTTTAATTGGGAGTGGCATTGTGGGAGGCATCGCTGAGATGGGATTTTGTGTGCTGTATCTATTCACTTATAGCTAAAGGGTATGTACATACAACTGTATGTTACTTTGTATTTTCCATAACAAGAAAATAACCAGAGAACTTTGTTTTCACCATGAAAAGGCTGAACTGCCGCATTTCTCCTGGCAGAATCACATGACTGAGCAGTCCAGAACTTTGCTTTGTAATATTTGGAGGCAATTCAGGGGAAATTAGAAATACTTGAGTTAGAGGTGATAGGGTGGACACAGAGTGTGTGTTTCAGAAACTGGACTAAGTGGGGAAGTTGTTTGCCTGTTCTCCAGATCAGGGAGCAGGTGGGTCTGCATTACTCATTGCCTTAGTCCCATTCCCACCATGGGCTAATGCAACTGCAGATGCCAGAGGAGGCAAGGCAGGCATCCAAAATGCTCTGTATTCCAAATTGAAGAGAGAACCATGCTATGTCTATAGAGGAGAAGTGTATCTGAGCCTATACTGATCATTTGTATGCTCGAGAGAATATTAAAGATAATAGTAATTATTCAGCTTTACATGTGTCAGGTGGTGAGCTAAATTCGAAACATAGATTGATATCACTGAATTCTTAAAACTTTAAAGCAGTGAGAACTTTATAGTAACTGGTGCTATCCCAGCTGCAGATGGGAAAAGAGAAGCATAAAGAGATTGACTTGCAGAAGGTCACACGGCTGCTAAGAAGTAGACCTAGGATTCTAACCAAGCAGTTTGACCCCAGAACGTGCACTCTTAATGTTATGATGCCCCAATGCTGAATCTTCTGAAACAATTTCTAGCGGGGAAGGGTTTTATTTCACTCACCAGTTCCATTTTGTGAAACCACCCCATGTCTTATACGCCTTCTAAGTGGAATGCTTGCTTCGATAGTTGTAGGACCAGTCTCTAGGTCAGAGCTTCTTCGGCTTTAACATGCACACGAATCACCTGGGGATCTCATTAAAATTCAGATTCTGACTCAGCAGGTCTGTGGTGGGGCCCTAGACTCTGCATGTCCACCAGGCTCCCCGGGGGATGCTGGTGCTGCTGGTCTGAGGCCACACTTTGAGTACCACTGGTCTAGATTATTTCCAATAGTCCATGTCATGAATGACTGTTCTTTTATTTGAATCTTGGCTTGAAGAATTATGATCTTCCTTACCAGCTCCCAGTTTGGAAATACCAGGTACTTTGCAATTGTTAGCTGAGAATACAGTTTATAGCAGTTGTCACATTTCCTCTTTTCTTCCATCAAAAATATTTCCAGGTCCAGGATTTGTATTTCTTATAAGCAAGTTCCTTTGTCCTCTCTCTTCACAAATACAGCTGCTTGCTCTAGGAGGATGAACACCGGCTACATCAGAGTTAACTCTGGTGTCTCAACTTCTTTAGGCAAACTGGACAATTTGTCTGCATTACTGTTTTCCAGAGGAGCTTTAGTTGGGCGACAGGTAGAGATGCTTTCCATTCTCGCTTCCCAAGATTTTAACTAAGGCTGATTGTTTGCTCCGCCAGGTAGCTTACTGTCACGTGGATGCTCCTTGGCAATATCACCCCAGGTGTTATCTGGCTATTGCATATGCAGTCCACCATTTCTCATGGGGTGCAACATGCTGTTACAGTAGGATTTTCTTGAAAAGGAAAACTTTGTATAGTCCAGTAATTACATAGATCTACTTGAAAAGATCTTTATTGAGATGAAGAGGTTACAAAATAATGAGACATTACAAATGCCTCTGCATAACTAGTATTCCAGCCAAAAGTTTGTTCATCCTATTCAACCATATTTTGGACTCTCCTTAGTTTACTTTCCTTCGGGACTCAAAGCCACTCAAAGCCATAGGCATGATGACTCCATGAGACTCCATGAGACTGAGGTTCAGAGTATAATGGGGTCTAAGTGAGTTGGGTCCTTTCTCCAGATCCTCTATTGAGCTAGGATCCTTACGAGAATGGAGGGCCCCTCCGAATGTGAGTCAGCACCCAGCCAGCACTGCCTCCTGGGCAGCTAGAGCCAAGAGGTCCAAGAGGCCCCTGAGGGCCAAGTATCAGGCCCCTGGCACATCTCCTAACACTGCCTCTGTGACCATGCTGGCTGGGCTTCCTGCTGACACACTCTCAGCAGTTGTCCCTTGCGGCTGTGTCTCAGGGTCCTGCATGCTCAGTGCTTCCATTTGCACTTTCTCCTCGGCCAGTATATCACATTCCTTGGCACGTGTGATACATGAATGAAGTGCATTCCCTTTAGACCCCACACTTCATTCCTAACTTGCCTCTGGTTAGCCTCAGTCTTCAATATCGGGAATACAGTTACCATTGGAGGATCAACTTCAAGAAACATGTCCCCATCCCGAGGGGCAAACCAGGATCTCTTGTGTGTATTTAGTGTCTACTACCTCACTCTATAATTCCTACACAGATTCAGCTTCTCTTAAGCTTTGAGAAAGTTTCAGCCTCTACCAGTCCTCTGGTCTCCCCTTCACCCCGACCCCCACCCCACTACCATGAGGTTCACACCATTTTAATTCCTTCCTCAGGCCCGTCTGCTCTTTCCCAGCTCTGCCGCCTGTGTGTCCGGAAGTGCTTGGGTCGAGCATGTCATCAAACCATCCACAAACTACATCTGCCGGAGCCACTAGAAAGATTCCTCCTATACCAGTAGTCCCAACTGTCCGTGGGAAGATACTTGGAAATAAACAGGTTGTTGTCTGCTGTACCCGGGGAACCTAGTGTAGACGCTAGACCAACAGCTAGCCTCTCAATCTCCTGAAATGAGCTAAGCCAGTTAGAGTAAATCCCTGATGAACTGGAACACTTGGGGAGTGGAAACTCCTGGTTAGTTGAATATTCTCATTAATCAAGGGGCAACCAAAAACATTTTCGTTTTTAGCTCTTGTTGTTAAAAAACTTTAAAAAACTGTGAAGTAGAGTGAAAATAATAAGCTATTTTTGAAGTTTCATGATCTTCAATTATTTAAGGGTCAACATTCTGAATATCGTGCAGACACATGTAAATCTGGGTGAATAAGATTATGAGGAATGTAAGTATTCCAAGATGTGTTCCTGTTTTAGTTCCTCTCTCCTTCCCCCTTCCTTTCTTTCCTTCCATGAATAAATCTCTGCTATAATTTTGATTTTCTTGCCTTTTTTATATATTAAAAAAGCTAAATACTTTCAAAACATCACAGTTAATTGAGACTTCAAGTTACCGAGGTCCTGGTTGATAAGAGAGATGTTGGAAGAGATTAGCTCACCCAGAGGTTGGGGTGGATTGCTTATCACTCCTGACATTAAATGCTGTTCTTTGAAGTAAACAGTTCCAGGATTGAGCAACACTGGGTGCTCCCAACTACCTGAACCCACTGGCCCTGTTTGATGCATGTTGCAACCCAAGCATCCATCAGCTTATTTTCTGTCAAGAGCCTCAGGGTTTTTAAAATAATTACATGTCGATGTCTGTCACCAAGATGGGCTCAGCGCTAGGTCAATATTATTTCTGTGAGCAGGGGCCCAAAATCAGCACAAAGGTATGCTGGAAAAACAGCCTTCTCCTCCTCCTTTATTCTCTTCTCCTCCCCCTCCTTTTTCTTCTTCCCACCCTCCTCCCCTTCTGCTACCCCTCCTCCTTGCCCTTCCTCTCCTCCTCCTCCTTCCTTTTGTGAATTTAGAACGTGGAAATTGAATAGACTTTTAATTATTATAAGTACTACTGTCATGGTTCAGTGACTATGGTAATATTAACTTCTAAAAAGAAAATTTTCTCTCAGATGATCCTAAGATTCGTTCCAAACATATATTTTTTTCCAGTTTTTCTAGATCTTTGATTCTCAACTGGGGACAAGTTTGCCCTACCACCACTTGGGGATATTTGGCAAAGTCTAGAGACATTTTTGGTTGCAACAACTGGGGGAGGGATACTACTGACATCTAGTGGACGGAGGTCAGATATGCAGCTAATCATCATACAAAGCACAGGGCAGCTCCCCACAGCAAAGAATTATCAGGTCCAAAATGTCAATAGTGCTGAGGTTGAGAAACACTGCTCTAAATCTGTGCTGTTCAATACAGAAGCCACTAGCCACGTTTGGCTATTGGGCAGTTGAAATGTGGCTAGGCTGAATTGAGATGTGCTGTAAGTATAAAATACATACCACATTTTGAAGATTCAGTACAAAAAAAAAGAATGTGGGGGCCAGCCCGGTGGTGTAGTGATTAAGTTCGAGCACTCCCCTTTGGTGGCCCAGGGTTCACAGGTTCGGATCCCAGGGGTGGACCTACGCACCACTCATCAAGCCATGCTGTGGCAGTGTCCCACATATAAAATAGAGGAAGATGGGCACAGATATTAGCTCAGGGCCAATCTTCCTCACCAAAAAGAATGTGAAATATTTTATTAATAATTTCGATGTTGATTACACATCAAAATGATAATATTTTGAATATATTAGGTTAAATAAAATACATTATTAAAATTAATTCCACTTTTTTAAAACTTTTTTAATGTGACTGCAATATAATTTTAAATTACACATGTGGCTAGCATTATATTTCTGTTAGTACTGTTCTAGATCTTTTCCTGATTTTCACAACTTTGGAATATCAAATAAGTTAATCTTAAATAGTTAAATATTTTGGGGAAAAAGATTAAATTCTTATTTTATATCATATTCCAAAAACAAATCTTGTTTTTTTGAAAATTTTAAGTGATGCTATAAAATACAAGAATAAAATGTTCATGAATGTACATGAAAGGGAAGGTCTTTTCTAAGCATAATATCAAAGGCAGAAACTTTAAAGGAAAATACTGGTAAATTAAAATACATATCATAGAACATTCAGGAATTGGAGGCTTTCTATCTTCAAAGTGTTCTCCTGAGTGCATTTTTTGGTCAACCTGAGTCTTGCTGAATGTCTGAGCTCTGTTAAGCCCCAGGATGTCCTAGGATATTCAATATGTCTGTGGCCCCAAGGAACTTGAGAATCCTGCTGTTCCATCCATTTTCTGAAACTACAGACCGTGGATTTCACGAATCATTTGTATGGACCTCCCAACTCTGGTAGGTGTGTGCGTGTGTGTAGGGGGGCACTCTAATCCATAATTGAGTCCCAAGAGACCACTCACCAGAACCGATCTTCTGGTTCCAGAAGGATGTGGATGCAGAACAGGTCCAGATCCCTGCATCTAGAGGTTATTGTGATGTTTTACGACTTCTGAATGTAGAGATTGGATACAAGATAGTCTTTAAATTCACTTTGAGCCCTACATTCCATCAAGCTAGAATTAGACCATCAGACGAATCATCTGGTTTATATGAGATTATATTGCTTGCTTTTGGGGGTTCTTAACACTAACAATTTCATTTTTCACAGGATGTGGGATATTTTATTCCCCAAATGGTGTAACTTTTTACAATTTCAATCATATCTGAAGTTCTCTAGGACAACTTCTCAATTAATTCATCCAACACATTTTTACTCAGCATCTATTAAGTGCCACACACTGTTCGTCGCTGAGAAAAAGATGAACGAGGTCCTTGCCCTTGATAAGCTTATGTGTTAGTGGAGGCAATGGGGAATAAGCAACACATATATATATATCATCATGTCAGGAAGTGATAAGAAAAATAAAGCAGATTAGGGTAAAGAGTGATGATGAGAGCTGCTGTTTTAGATAAGGTGATTAGGCAAAGTTCTTGGCAAGGTGACTGAATTTTAAAAGACCTATTCATGTGTGTATCTAATATTTACTAATTTTTACTGTTAAGGTTTTAGTGACTTTTTTCAGTGTGTTTTCAGTACATCATTTTTTTTGTTTCTTTGCCTGATTTAATGTAGCGATCCTATTATAAAAGTATTTTTGATTCCTGTTTTTCCCACAAACCATATTGTCATGATTGTCTGTTTCAAACCCTTTGAAACTATCCTTTTAAATGGTTGTATCGTATTCCTTAGCTATTTCCATATTGTTGGATACTTAGATTATTTCCAATTTCTTGCTATTATAAATAACACTAGTGTGAACTTCATTTTTTTATACATTTTTTAAATGTTTGAAGTATTTTTAGAAGACTTTCAGGAGAGATATTTACTGATTAAGAAAACTATTTAAAATAATAGTTAAAAAATTTAAAATACATATACAATGAATCATTTTAAGGGAAAATCTTTTCATAACCAAACGAATACCCAATATTACCTATCCATATACCATCTGTCACTATAGACATCCAATCTATCTATATATCATGTGTCCGTCTGTCTATCACCTATTTACTGATCGTTTATCTGACTGTATCCACCATCTGCCTTGACCCACTATTAAAAAAAAAAGCTTGTCTGTGTCACTTGAAGATTTAAGCCTCAACTCTTTCAAAATCCCTTAAATTATTTAGAAAGTTGGGTATGTCATTCAACATCTCTAAGTTTTTTGTTCATATTTTATTATGGAACTGTTTCTCCCAAAGTAATTCTCCTTCCTGATATGTCTAATATTTCCATGTCAAACAAACCTGAGGTTTACGGATGATTCTTTTTTCAGTAACAATGCTCATTGCTGAAAAGATTTCATTCGCTTAACACAAAGAGAACAGCTGACGCTTCAGAGACATTGCCTGCAGCTGTCAGGGTGAGGGATGAAGCATTGAATAACCACAGTTTGTCAGGGGAGGGTGCTTTCTGCACTGGAGGACCTCACATTTTCTCCCATCGCAAATCATCACCAGGGGCTGCTCCTGCACGGACATTTGCATATGGAATATATCATCTCCTTCCTTTAGCAGAGTCTGTACTAGGACGAATACCTGGGTCACACTCAGAATAGCAGCTTCCTATTTTAACGAGTTTAACCCATAAAACATGTATACCAGGTTTTTATTTTCATTTATTACTTTTTCTTCCTTCACCATTGTTACATCTTGAAAATTTTTCCCACTTACAGAAAAATTGCAAGAATAATACAATGAATATTTGCATGTCCATTACCTCAATTCATCAACTGTTAGCATTTTGCCACATTTGCTTATGTATGCTATGTATGCCACATTTGCTATGTGTGTGTGTATGCATGTGTACACAGGCCTATATAATATATATGTATATATGTAAGCCCATGTATAATTAATGCATATATATATAACATATATATACATATATATAATATATATATACATATATATAATAAATATATAAATATTTTTAAAAATGAGCCATTTGTGGTAAACTGTGGACATCATGATTCTTTACCAGGGCTAGGATAGGATGAGGTAAGTGAGGCAAAAAATTTAAGGGAGCACAGAAAAACTCAGTCATCAAGATACACATTTTAGTGCAATATTTAAAAAATTCAATGTTAAGGGAAAAAGCCCACGATGACTAAAATCTCAAAAATTTTAATAAAGACAGGCTGTTGTTTGTTTTATGACCCTGCATAATTGTGCAATGAGAACAGTGTTTCCAATCAGCCTGCGGTTCTGGGACACGTGGCTGTTGGGTTTATGAGGAATGACAATGGCTTGTAAATGTATTGGACAACGTGAGCTTGATATATAGTCATGTGTTCTGACTGTTGAGGTTGCATTAACTTTTTCTATTTGGTGCAAAATGTTTACATAGAGACCCGCGTTGCTCCCTTCTCGTCATGCTCCCATATGGCTCTGCACTAAGCACTTCAGCGTGCATCTTCTATGAACACAGAGATTCTTCTTCCTACCGTGGTGCAGGATCACATGCAGGAAGTTTGACACTGATGCACTATGATTATCCAATGTAAGTCCATATTTAAGTTTCCACGATTGTGGCATTGATGTCTTTTATGTCTTGTCTCCCCACCTCCCAATCAGAATCCAATCAAGGATCAAGCATCGTATTTAGTTATCAAGTCTCTGTATTCTCCTTTAATCTAGAAAGCCTCCCCACCACTTTTGTCTTTCATACCATTGGCATTTTTGAAGAGTCCAGCCCCATTGTTATGTAGACTATCTCTCAATTTTGATTTGCCTGATTGTTTCTTCAAGAATACTGCATTATGCCGGATTTTTAAAAATACATCCTTGTTTGAATCTTATTGTACTGCTAGATGGAGTAGGAATGAATGACTTCTTTCTAAAGTAGCAACATCAGATACCTCAGCATGCAGTGCCACTTATGCAAGAACAACTGAAACAGATAGGATTTTTGCAGAAAAAGTAGATCGTTCCAGATTATCAGAGGAGATGTGTACCTTTTAGGTTTTAAAGGTTTTGTGCTAGAAAAATTGCAGGCTGGAATGACAAGAGGTTTCAGCTCCTGAGCCAACTTTGACTGATCGGAGGTGACTTTCAAGGCTCCCCAAGGCCTTGGAAGGAAAGAGTCTCATAATTCATGCGTGATGTCAGCCAGGGACATCTAGGTGAGGGGTGGGGCAGAGGCACTGGCTACTGTTAAGACTGCACTTGATAAGGGATGATTGTAGCCTTACTGCTACTGCAGGCCATAATTCTTTTTTCTTACCTAACCTGGGCCAAGTTTCCTGAACGTGCAGACACACACAGGACTGACTAGAAATTGGTAAGATTGTTCTTCTCCTGTGGCTCGTTGTAAGCCAACCTATTTCTGTATAATCACATCTCATACACATGTAATTCAACTTTAATCTCATATAGATCCTTAAAAACACATGAACTCCTCTTGTAATGGTTTTCTAATTCCTGACTAGAACTGTTGTTTAAATAGTCCAAAAATACCAGTTCCCATGCTCCTATTCACAAGTGTTAATCAACATTATAAATATAATGAGAAGATTAAAAACTGACTAAGTCCCTCCCAGGTTCTAAGGCAACAACCTGGAAATTGTCTTTATTGTCATTTTGGACAATAAACTTAAATTTGAGTATGGAAAAACTTTATCTTCTTGGAATTTAATTAAAAGTGAATAAAGAAACTGTACTATGAAGATTTTACTCAGAAAGAATGGCGATGGTGTCCAGCTGCCCCAGTGTGCCCCTCTGTTGAACTGCTTGTCATCCAGTCTAGGTTGAGAGTAAATTTCTCCCTCTCTGCCAAATATAAGTTTTATTGTTCTTCAAACCTGTCCTGGAGCAGTGGACAATGTATATGTTTACGGCCATCTCAGTTAAGTCTGCAAATAAAGCTGGAGGGCAATTTGGCAGTGTTTATCTCAATTTTAAGTGAACAGCCTCTTTTCAAATTGAAATTTGTATTGAGATAATTGTAGATTCACATGCAGTTGGAAGAAATAATACAGGGAGATCTCCTATAGCTTTGCTCAGTTTCGCCCAATGATGACTTTTTGCAAAATTGTAGTACAATATCACAACCAGGAAATCATCATTGATACAACCCACTGATCTCATTCAGAATTCTCCAGTTTGACTTGTACTGACTTCTGCGTGTCCTTAGTTCTACAGAAATTATCCCATGTGTATGAGCACACGTTTGACCCAGGATTTCCACTCTTAGGGATCTCTCCTCCAGAAATATTTGCATATGTGCACAAAGCCATATGTACAAAAATACGGACTGCAGTATTTTTGTAGTAATAAAAGAAATGGTAACATTCTGCCTCCATCATTAGGGTGAATAATGAAATCCTTTTGCAGAAAGGATTGGCACACTAGATAATGCTACGCAGTAGTAGTGAATAAAGAAAGGGGCATAGCTATAGATGCTGAAATGGAAAGATCACCAAAACAAAATAAGTGTAAAAAGCATAGAATGATATGGTAATATAATTACAATTATGTGCAAAATGTAAAGGAATAAATGTGTATACATATGCATGCACAGCAATGCATTTTAAAATATGAAGGACACTCCTCAAACTTACCCATGGCTACCATGTGTTTCAACTGAGGATCCATAACTGCAACAATGAGGCTACATCTCTGGCATTAAAAAAAATCTATAATCATTTCACAGCCAGACTATGCTTAAGACTAACTCAGAGCCTCCCCAAATGGGGAAGAAAAATCCCCTTCCACCCGGAAGAGAGGAGCAGCGGGGTCTGGGGTGGCCATCAGCCTGAACCAGCACCCAGGGGTGTGGGGAAACCAGGTTTATCTGAAAAGACACATGGACAAAACCCCAATTTTGTAAAGGCAAAACAGGCGAAACCGTCACAAAGTACAACTTTTTATAATTAACAATTAAAAGAAAGACAGCAGGTCTCTTGCACGCCCCCATGCCACCCAGCAATCCATTTTTCCAATAGCACCCATTAATTATTTAGAAGTTAAAATACAATGTGTAGAAGAGGGGTGAAGTAGGACACTTAATGAAATCCTTGCAGTTGGAAGAAAATAAAAGTTGTTTCCAAACGTGCATTTTTGTAACATATAGACACATTTTCCCATAAGAAACTCACAGAAAAATTGAAACCACATGTGCAGATGGCCAGGGCGTGCTGTGCATGTTGCTGTGCAAGCAATTCAGCAGGGCTTCTGCAAAACCAGCTTTCTCAGCTCTTGGGTTCTGGGGCTTGTCTCAACAACAAGAAGCCCCCAAATAACAAACAGATCCCAGCAGGGTGAACAACATTGCAGCAGGCGAGCTGTTTCCTTCACTCCCACCCTGTTCCCTTCGCTCTCCAAAAGTTACAAACTGTGAGTTTCCTTCCTGATAAACCTCAAGGCTTCCGCACTGATTGGTCTCAGTTTTGGAAAGGACGTGACATCAGCAACTGTGCAGTCTTGGGGCTGGGGGGCTGTTGTGGGCTTTGGCCAGCCTCCAGTCAGCTAGGTGGAGCATGCTTGTGTGTGTGTGTGTGTGTGTGTGTGTGTGTGTGTCCGTCCGTGTCTGTCCGTGTGTGCGCTTGTCTGTCTGACCACAGGTAGTACTCAGATTACCCTGCCTGTTCTGTTCTCTGCTGCAGACGGCTGTTCTCTACTGTCTGACCAGGACAGTGCAGCTCAGCCAGCCACAGCCCTGGAATTTCCCAGGAGCAGGGGGAGCATGGAATTTGGACTTTTCTGAGCAACTGAAGTGGAGCGTGGAGCTCACTCGACCCAGGAGAGCACCATGGACGGCAAACCACAGGGCAGGAACGGCAGCAAGCCCCTGAGGCCAGGAGACCCTCCTGACACCAGGCTCCTTTCAAACCCGCTGATGGGGGGTGAGTCGAGGGGCTATGGCATCAGAGTGCTGGGGAGGTTGGTTAACGTGCTTAGGAGAGATGAGAGAAGAGGGCTGGGTGATTTCAGTGGCTCCATCTGAGGTGTGTCCATGGGGCAGTTTCTGGACAGATATCCACGGCCTACTGGTATATATCCTTTAGAAGGTTGTTCAAAAATGTGTACACCTCTATCTGCAGAGTCCTATAGACCATACAAAGTCAATTATCACTGTTTATTCTCCTGCAAAAACTTCAGCTCCAAAGAATTATTCTGTGTGGGTCAAATGTATCACTTAAGTTACATTGAGGGTTTAAAGGTTACTTATAAATAGGAACGTTTTTACTGCTAAAACATTTATCAAAAGCTCTTAGGTGTTTGGCATTTAAGTGGGGCTGGGTTTATAAATGATGTTCAAACATTGAGCACTGATTGATTCAGTTTAAGTTTAAGGAACCTTTTTTTTTTTTTTTTTAACTTTGGAGAAGTGTCTTACCGGTATGATTCTCACCTGTCAGGTGGTATCTTTGCTAATGTATAGAGTCTCATGCCTCTGGGAAACTGTCATTTTCTGTGAACATTCAACAGGTGCCTGCTGACTGGAAGGATTCTGAAAAATGGGTGTAGGCATTATAGGAGAGATTATTATATTCAGCACCCTGGTAGGTTGCCCATAACACTTGTCGATCATAGGGACAATAAGCAGGGACCCTGCAGTCAGATAGGACTTATTACTTTCCTACTGTACAGGTGCTGAAAGGGGAAAAAACCAGAAGAAATAAAATACAAAATGCCTTCCCTCTGACTAATTGAGCAGACACGACTGCCCATTCATCCGTTTCTCCGATTTTGCTCATAAAATGAGCAGAGCACTCAACAGTGAGTAGGATTTGGACCCACAAAGGCAGAACTGGATTGATCAGATCTATTGAGCACAAACTTGGAGCAGTAAAAAGCCGAGTGGCACCAAAAATCACTTTTAAAAATTAATTTGATAAATACATTTTTAAAACAGAAAACCAATCAATATGGGAAAGAATCAGTAGTTTGGTTGACTTCCTCATGATTACTTTACGGCTAAGTATTATGTTTATTTTTATTTCCACGTGAGAAAATGGTGCCAGCCACTTTTCACTGTTTAAAGTTTCTAAAGGTCCTAATTCAGCCCTGGTTGGGGCGGGGTGGGTGGAGGGGACGGGCAGGCATATATATACTCAAAGATATGGCGCTTAGAAAGTGAACACACTGTCACAACTAGAATGCGGAGTGTCTTAGGAAGTCTAGTGAGAACAAGTTTGGAGAGATGGAACCTGATAATGAAGCTTCAAAAGCTAGGTGGGGTTTAGCCTTCATGAGGCAAGGAATTGGGAGCCATTGATGGTTCTGGAGTAGAGACCTGGCAATAATGAAGACTGTAAGTAAATTAATCTGGTAGCACAGTAAGGATGGATTGTGGTGGGATCATGGGAAATTCTTGCACTAATCCATTGATTCTCAAACTTGCATATGCATTAGCATCACCTGGAGGGTTTGGTAAAATACAGGTGGCTGGGCCCCACCCCCGGTGCTTGTGATGCTGTAGTAGGTTGGAGTGAGGCCTGGGAATCTGAACTTATAAGAAGCTCCCAGGCGATGCTGATGGTGCTGGTTGGGGACCACACTTTGAGAACCACTGCACTAATCCAAGCGTGAAGCTCACATTTGGATTGAACTTGGAAATGACAGAGAAAGGGAAAATAGGAGTGATAATTTCAAAGGAAAGAGAATCAGGCTACGTTGCCTGATAAAATATTGGGGCTAGCAGAGAGAAGGCAGCCAAAATTGTAAAGTTTTTGAGCCTAAATTAATGTCAGACAAGAGGGCTAGAAAAGAGAGAAGTTGGGAAGAGGAGCTGGCTTGGGAGCAGAATGGGGAAGGGAGGATAAGGACTTCTATTTTGAACATAAAAGTGCCACTGCTAAATGCACAGCATGAGGATGTGGGACCGAGGCTGGGGAATGAATACAGGTCAGGAATCAGAGACCTTAGAATGTTCTGCAGAGGAGCTGTGCTGAAATCCCCAGAGAGGAGAAATTGTCTGATGGCTGAGAGCTAAGAGCCAAGGATGGAGCCCTGGGCCAGGCCTGCAGTTGAGGAGATAGGACCAGTGAGTTGGACAGAGAAGCAGGAAGAGACTTGAATGCTGTAATTCCACAGGGACTAAGGGAAGAGAAGTTTTCAAAGAACTGGAAGTTGCAAGGGTAGATGCCAGGACACCTCTGCTCTCCTACCTCCTTCTCCACTCCTGACTGGCAAACTCCTACTCACATTCAGCACTCAGCTGAGCCACTGCTCCCACAAAGCCCTCCCAGACTTTCTCCCTCTCCCTACCCAAGTGGAGTCTTTCTCTCCCTACTTTGCATCAGGCCTGCTTCTTGGGCAGAACCTCGATTATAGCTGGATTGCATTTGTTTATGCTTTTGAAGTCTTGACCTTGGTGAAGTGTGGAATGTGAAACACTCGGAATGCTGTTTCCAAATGGCCATGTCAAGAAACTCAGCTCAGGTGAAGCGTATCCCCTGGCACAGGGCCAGGTCAGAGGGAAAATAGGGCCCGGGTGTGGTTCCTCTTGGGGAACTTTGCTGCTCCCACCTCCACTTGCAGGATTTTCTCTGCCTCCTTCTCTGGAGGAAAGGAGGAAAGGATATGAAGATGGCAGCCAATTCTTTATAGAGATTTGTTTAATGCTTGACTCCTCTGCCCCAGGAGCAGGAAAAGAATGTCTTTTTTTTTTCCTGAAAATACTTTATGTGTTGAATTGTTTCCCCCCAAAAGATATGTTGAAGCCCTAACCCCCAATACCTCAGAATGTAACCTTAATTTGGAACTAGGATCGTTGCAGATGTAATTAGTTAAGATGAGATCATACTGAAGTAGGGTGGGCCCTAATCCAATGGCTGGTGTCCTTATAAGAAGAGGAGAGGAGATAGACTGGGAGAATGCCGTGTGATGACGAGGCAGAGATTGGACTGATGTGTCTAACAAGCCAAGAAACAGCAAAGATGGATGGCCACCACCAGAAGCTAGAAGAGGCAAGGAAGGATTCTTCCTTAGAGCCTTTGGAGAGAGCATGGCCCCAACAGCTTCATTTCAGACTTCTGGCCTTCAGAACTATGAGACAATGAGTTTTTGTTGTTTTAAGCCACCCAGTTTGTGTACTTTGTTATGGCGGCCCTAGGAAACTAATTCAAATCTACTTATAGAAACTTTGGAAAATACATTGAAGGATAAACTAAACCACCTATAATCCTGCTGAGCAGGTAACCACTGTTCCCATTTTTAGTGTCTATCCTTCAGGTTTTTGCCTGCAGATTCACACCTGTAGAGAGATTTCCTTCCTCACAAAATTAAGCCCACCCTGTAGAGAATATTTGCATTTAAACAGAAGACGGGCAAGAACAGGTGTGGAAAGGAAATAATTTCATTCTCTTATGGTGGGTTTTTAGATATTGGGGCGCTTTGGCAGGGGTGAGTTTTCTGGGGGAAACCTGTCTGATCAGATGGAATGGGTGATGGTGTGAGGTCCCTATGGAGAAGGCAGCCCGAGACAGAGAGAAACAGAGACAGAGAGAGACAGAGACAGAGACAGAGAGAAACATAGAAAGAAGAGGCTGGGTGATGGAACTAGAGAAAAAATTGCAGTGGACAGTACCGACTTGCCCAAGAGTTGCCTCAGTGGGCTTTCTATTTCCCTGTTTCTGACTGTGAGCCTCTGTTTCTCTTCCTCCTTTTTTTTTGTTTGTCCTGGAATCCAACCAAGGCCCACTATAATTGTAAACACAGCACCCAGATCCTCTCCGGTGTTGGTACACACCACTGAACCTACCCTATCATTTCCTAAAGACTGAAGGCAAATGCTCCTGCCTTCTCAGAACAACCCAGCCTCTCTTTTTCCCCCTTTTCTGACCTTGCAAAATGTTTTCCAGGGTGGATAGATCTGTGCTACTGCTCAGCATTCACTGGGGGCTCTCAGAGCTTCGCTAATAGCTCTTTTCAGAACGTACCAATTAGTGCATTTAAAATTTCTTCTGAAATAATGGAAATTTTAAAAATCATTCCAGAAATTGCGTTAAAAATGAAATGGCAGCCTTCCTAATGTGCTGCAGGGTTTCATGGAGACTCACTTTAAAAGAAAGGTAAGTTTAATGGCACTAATTGGAGAATTTGTGGAGTAGTCTCATTAGGAGAGCTCCCTGCCCCATTTTAACCATGAGCTACACTACTGGATCTGTGGCATCGCCAGTGACTCCATTTGACATCTATTTTTTTGGTAGCGAAACCAATAGACCCTGGCTGAACGAATGTTGGGGAAGAATCCTTAATATATACCAAGGGCTCGGGTGATATGTTGTATACAGATAATGGTCCTTGAGTATCAAAGACTTTGGTGGGGTCAGTGGAAAAGGGGATTGTGACCTTGAGTCTCCCCTTCATCCAGTCTCCTACTGTGAGCATTTCCATGTTCTGGCAGGAATAGTTCCCTTTTCCTGCTTATTCTGCTCTCTCCAGTTGTCAGCAGGAAGGCAGGCAAAGCTGCTTCTGGGTTTAATTGCACATGTGTTGAGCCTGTAGCTCATTGCCTGCTTGGGGTGTGGGCTCTGGAAAACCCTGGAGAAACGTCTCCCTGATCCTCCCAGGCGAGATCACTCGAGGTGCACATCTCAGCTATCTCTTCAACGTTTTCAAGAGTTAAAGAGTATCTGTGGACTAATCCGTTTTGCAAATTATGGTGTTTGCTAAACTGTATATGTATGTGTATATATATGTGTGTGTATATATATGTATATATGTATATACATATCTCCACGCTCTCAGTGCTAGAAAAATGTGAACCTATCTGTTGTCACAATTTTAAGTTTTTACATAATCACTCAATTGTTCAGAGACCCGCTGAGGCTAAAGTCCTTGTATAAATTTGAGATGAATTTTGGCTTTACAAGGACCCAAGTTTTTCTTCTGGGCAGGAGTATAGGCACACTATGCCAAACCATAGTCTGAAATGACTTTAAATTAGAAAGGGATGTCTTACACACTGCTGATGGGAATATAAAGTGGTACAGCTGCTTTGGAAAATAGTCTGGCAGTTCCACCAAAGGCTAACCATTGGGTTACCACATCATATAGCAGTTCCACTCCTAGGTGTATACCCAAGAGAATTGATAACATACATCCACTCAAAAATTTGTACATGAATGTTCATAGCAGCATTATTAATAATAACCAAGAAGTGGTAACAACACAACTGTCCATCAACCGATGAATGAATAAATAAAATGTAGTCTATCTATACAATGGATATTTGGCTACAAAAAGGGATGAAATACTGATACATACTATAATGTGGATGAACCTTGAAACCTGATGCTCAGTGAAAGAAGCCAGTCACAAAGGACCACATATTGTATGATTCCATTTATAGGAAATGTGCAGAGTAGGCAAATCCATAGAGACAGAAAGTAGATCAATGGTTGCCAGGGGCTGGGGGAAGTGGAAATGGGGAGTGACTGCTAATGGGCGAGGGGTTTCTTTTTGGGATGATGAAAATGTTCTAAAATTGATTGTGGTGATGGTTGCACAACTCTGTGAACGTACTGAAAACCATTGAATTGTACACTTTAAATGGGTGAATTGTATAGTATGTGAATTATAATTCAATAAAGCTGTTAAAAGACACATATATAGATAGAGATTGTCAGCCCCCATCACCTGTGTACCAGGACAACACCCTGTGCTTCTCGAAGACACAGGCTGTCTCTGCTCTGTAAATACATTCTAAAGCAGGGGTACCAAACCTCAGGTAGCCTTTTATTTCCTCTTTGAGAAGTACGTAATTCTATATTTATCCTAAGTAGAAGGAGTAATGGCTCCATGATGAATGACTATAAAGCGCATTTTTGTCTATACTTGAGAATATAATTGCATCGTTTTTATGAAATCTGAACAGAGTTACAATTTAGAGCCCAAATTACCTGCCTGGACTGTTTAGGCTGTCAACTCGGATTATCTGAAGTAGCTTTAAGAAAGGTTGAGGAGTGTGGCAGCTATATTTCTTAGCAGCTGAGCACTTGGAAGGAAAAATGGATTAATCATCACACACATGGTGATCCATTAGGGTACATTTGCAAATCTATTTAAAACTGATTTTTAAAACTCTTCTCAATTTTTGGCTCTTTCTTCTCGCTCAAGATTTTGTGTGGATGGTATCTTGCATTAGCACCAACGGGGTAGATTAGTTGTCCTTTTAATTCTCATTTGGAGAGAAATCTTTCCATATCTGCAGTCTGGATTGTAGGCTCCAAGCCCTAGAAGCAGCAATATTTTTCCTGAGAGAATTAGGAACCTCAGTTCCCTGAGGTTGTCCTGCTGTGAGGACACTAGTTTTCTACTGAGCCGAAGGTTTTGGAAGTAGGAAAACCATTTCACTTAAGGTGTCTCAAGCACCTTAGTGACCCCAGAAGGAAAGCATTGGATGGGCACTGTGTAGGCAGGCTCATTCGACTTCCTTTTACCTATTAAATGCTTCATGAATCCACCGGGAAGGATGGTGATTTGCTCACTGGGACAGATTTTCTAGGGCATTGACAGCTCCAGGTAGCAGGCAGACCTCTGCCAATGCGTGTTAAATACACAGTGTTCTAGCCTCCTCCTTTAAGGCCTTGCAGTTTGCAGGGCGTTACTAACTAGCCTGGTTCTCCAGGTCTTCTCAGCTTTTAAGAGATACCAGTCCCTTTACAAGGCATGACTGGTATCAGACCATTCTGCCTTGTTTGTGTGTGGCGTGTTTACTCAGGCAGGCACAGGTGGAGCTGAAGCAAGCTCAGAGGAGCCTCCTCACGCTCTGACTTCCTGCCTTTGCTTGTTCTAGAAATCAGACGCAGCTTGAGATGAGAAAAATTCAGGTCTACACCTCATTCAGGTTACATCCACACTCAATTAGAAAGAGAGAGGAAAGCATTTAATGTGTTGGGATAGGGTTTACAGGCTTCCTTCCTGAGAATGTGTATTCTTTCCACATGGTTGTAGAACAAATTTGCTATTTTACATAGCAGTAATCATGGGGTGTAATCAAGACTCTCTGTTTAGTGTCAGGACAGGATAATAATAGTAGCTAATAGTATTGAGCCATGGGGAAGTATATTGCTGTCCTCACTTTAAAGAGAAGGAAACTGAAGCTCAGAGCTTGTCCAGGGACCCACAGCTTAGGAGAAGCCAAGCGGGTCTGAATTCAGAGTTTTCTCTTAACCACACTGGCATGCTGCCTTTGGGGGTAAATAATGTCCCTGTTGCAAGGTCAGACTGAATTCTGACTTGTGCTTGATATTGGGACAAGAGGTAATCCATAAATGGATATAGTTCTGTTTTGATTTGATTCCAAACCTAATGGTGTATGTAATTACATGATTACTACCATTAGTATATGGCACTGTTGGCTGAGATGCCAAAGTTTGTATTTCACGCAGGCAACTAGACTGGCAACCACAGTTTAACACACTAATGCTGGTGATTAGTGAAGCTCTCACTTAACTAAACGGACCATTTGCCTTTGAAACCAGCGTGTAAATGGAAGTACAGTAATCTGTCATTCCAATCCACCTCTTTTGTCCTCATTTGGACACTGGCTGTAGTTCTTTCTTTAGCTACCTAGACGTTTCAAATAATCTGTGTACAAGAAACGTCAATAGCGGGGAGAAATGCTGAAGTCCTGTTGGGAGTTTTGGTTGATTGACTCCAATGTCTCCATCCAATAAGACCCGTTAAGCTCTTATTGATGGGCAAGGATGAGCCTCTGGGCCTAAAGTGCATTAGCAGGCTGTAACCCGTTTCTCCCTTTCCATACAGATTTTGTGTCTGATTGGTCTCCTGTGCATGAAGCTGCCATCCATGGACGTCTGCTCTCTCTGAGGAACCTCATCAGCCAGGTAGGGAGCTTTTTTTGGGGGGGAAAGATAAATATTAAGCAACATCCAATTGCTCACTACACTGAGAAAAAAATCATAGTCTGATATTAAGATATAAATTTCCTCTTCAGCAAAATGAGGTGAATCTTATCCTATCTAACCATTCCTTTATTTGGAGGCTGGCATAACACTAGAGTTTAGTATAATTCTATGCACGTAGTAGGTACTATGATAAATATCTGTGGAGTGAATAAGGAGCAAATTAGTACATTCAAGTTGCCTTCACTTTATTCAATAGACTGTGTTCTTGAAAATTATCACGAAAACAATGGTTCTCAATTGGGGCAGTTTTGCCCCTTAGGGGACATTTGACAATGTCTGGGGACATTTTTGGTTGTCACAACTGGGAGCAGGAGCGGGGATGGGTGGGTGGTGGTGATACTGGCATCTAGTAAATAGAGAGCAAGGATGTTAACTAAACATCCTACATTGCACAGGACAGCTCTCCACATTAAAAAATTATCCATCCCAAAATGTCAGTGGTGCTGAGGTTGAAAACCCCTGATGTAAAATAAATGCTTGAAAATGTCTTCTTTAACATGTAATCTTATAATTTCAAAGACATTTTCAGTTCTCTTGAATCTCCAGTTGATAGTGGCTCTGCCCAGTTTGATATTAGTTTCTCTGCTCCTCAGGTGTAATTTCAAGTATGCATTAATTTGAGTTTTGCTGGTTTGAAATTAGTGGGAACTTAAGCAAAGGCACTTTTAAGAAAGCAGTTTAAATCACCATTCAAAATTCTAATAAAGTTTTTGTCCAGAGTATTCTGTTCTCTGAAAAGACTATAGATCTTTTAAGTTAGGAACTCTTGGCCCTTTCTGTACCGTGGAGCCCTTTGGCAGTCCGGCCAAGTCTGTGGACCCCTTCTCAGACTAATGTTTTAAATGCACAAAACACAATATAGAGGAAACCTATCAAAATATTAAAAAACGAATGTGTGACATAGTAATATATGGACTTCTTTATTCATGCATTAAATAAGAAGATTTAGTGATGATTCTAATGACTACCATAATTCTAAGTAGGATGAACATATATTTGGAGATATTTTAGATATCTGCTACAATTTTAATGCAATAAAAAATTTCCATACTTCCTCTCCATGATAGTCCTGTATACTGCTGTTACTACTGTGGTTTGGTGTCTACATTCATGATCGAAGGACATGACAAATTTCAGTTAGTAGCTAGTGAAAATAAATGTGCTTTTTAAAAAAATGCCAATTTCATGGAACTATCTAGACTAAGAAATCCTCCTATAAGAAAATAATTTCTAAAGAAAAATTTCAGACTACCCTAAGCCACTGTCTTAAGCTGTTTTTGGTAGCAGCAGCCTATTATAAATAGAAACATAGTAACACATAACTCTAGCTACAAGAAATTAAGCTGCTTCTCAGATAAAATGAAACATTTACCTTATTTTGATAGGATAAAAAATGATCATTGAAGTTTTTATATATCACAGGTTAAATTGGACTGATATTCATTTATGTTCAGTGTTTATATGTTTACTGAATATCAGCCAGAACAATGTCTTTATCTAAGCTCTATCACATTATTTGAGCACATCATTTTTTTGGAAGCTCAATGTCTGCCTTCATAAAATGAGCATTCCAATACCCACTTGTATTAGTCAGATCTTGCTGTGTAAGAATCCACCCAAACTCTGTGGCATAAAACAATAAACATTTATTTCTTGCTAATGAGTCTTTGGGTCAACTGATCTAGGCTGGGCTTGTCTCCAAGCTGTGGGTTGGGTGCAGCTCTGCTGCACATGTCTCCCATTCTTATTTGACTGTGGCTACCTGAGGAATTTTCTTCTCATGGCAAAAGGTGGAGCAGAGTAGGGCAAGCCCAACCATGCAAGAGTATTTCCAATCTGCTTATAGTGCCTATGCTAACACCCCATTGGTCAAAGCAAGTCAGATGACCAAGTCCAAAGTCAAGGATCAAAGAAGTAGATTTTGTCAACTATGAGGTCATGGCAAGGGTATGAATGTATTACACCGCTATAGGAGAGTAAAGAATTGAGACCAAAAATTCAATCTATTATGTTACCTTATATGGATTTGAGAGAATTAACTGAGGTGACATTATGTAAATTACTTATCTTAGTTGCTGTCCTCACAAATGGTATCTGTTTTTTTATTACAATCTACATAGCACTTCAGATAATCGAATAATACTGAAAAACTGTTGCTAAACTAAACAAACTCATATTTTAGTAAGGGGAATAACACCAAACCTTCAAGAGAAAAAAATTATAAAAAATAATTCTCATTTGGTCTAAGAAGGGAGAAACCGAATCCATAACTAGTTATTCTTTACTACGGCTTCACATTAAAATAATCCAGGATATTTTTTAAAAACAACAATGCATGGGCCTAACTCCAGATATTCTGATTTAGCCAAGCCTTCCTCATTGGAATTTTTTTTAAAGTTCCTATAGAACCACTATGTTCAGGGATTTTAAATAGGCCATTTTGACAGTGCAGAAGAGAGAGGGAAGGGCATTTGACATGAAAGAAATGGTATGGGGAAAGGAACAAAGAGACTGATAAATTGGATTTCAATAAAATTAAGAACATGTTCATCAAAAGGCAATATTTTAAAGGCAAGGAGGTAAGCCACGGATGAGAAAATATTTGCAATATATGTATCTGACAAAGAACTTGTATTGCTACCCAAAAATCAATGCAAAAAGCACAGGCAACCCAACAGAAAAATGAGCAAGAGGCTTGGACTGGAACTTCATAAAAGATGATCTCCAAATGTTCAACAAATGTTTCATACTGTGTTTATTAGTAACTGGGGTAATTCAAATTGCAAATAAGAGATTATGTCACCAGCTTCTCCCATGAGAAGGGTTAAATTTGAAAAGACAGATAATATCAAGTGTTGGCAAAAATGCAGAGTAACTGAGACTCTCATACATTGCTGGTGGGAGTATAAATTTGTACAAACCACTTTGGGAAATTGTTAAGGAATATCTACTAAAGCTAAAACCCTTCAACCCAGCAATTCCATTTCTAGGTTTATATGCAACAGATACGTATACATGTGTTCATCAAAAGACACATACAGGTATATTCATGGAAACCTTATTCATAAAATAAAAAAAAAAAACCTTGAAAACAATGTAAATGTCCATCAAAAGTAAGATGGATAGGGCCAGTCCTGGTGGCCTAGTGGTTAAGTTTGGTGTGCTTCACTTTGGTGGCCAGGGTTCGGTTCCCGGGCACAGACCCACACCACTTGTCTGTCAGTGGCCGTGCTGTAGCAGCAGCTCACATTAAAAAAAAAGAAAAAATAGAGAAAGGTTGGCAACAGATGTTAGCTCAGTGCAAATCTTCCTCAGCAAAAAAAAAAGATGGATAAATATATTTTGGTATATTACTCAATGGAACTCTACACAGCAATGAAAATGGATGAATGAATAAGTCTGAAAAACATAATGTTGAATGAAAGTAGCCAAGCACACACACACACATACATACTTTGTAGTTCAATTAATATAATGTTCAAAAGCAGGGAAAACTAATCTATGGTGTTAGAAGTCAGTATCCTAGATGCCTTTGTGGATGAGGGGTGGGTAGTAATTTGGGTAGGATATATGTGGGCTTCTGGTAATGTTTTTTTTCTTGACCTGTATAGTGGTAACACAGACATATTTTCTTTGTGATAATTCACTGAGGTTTACACTTAGGATTTATGGACTTTTCCTTATATATGTTGCACTTCGATAATAATTTATTTTAAAAAAACAATAGCAGTTTGTTAGGTTAGCAGAAAGCAGTTAAGGTACCACTTGACCATAGTGTGACCTTAATTTGGTGGCTCTCAATCTAGACTGTACATTAGCATCCCCTTCGGCTGGGGTCAGGTGGCAGTTCTTAAAAATACTGATGCCTGAATTCAACCTCCTTTGATTATGTTGCAATCGCTCTGGGATGCAGCCTGAGTATCAGGACTTTTTTAAAGCTCCCCAGGTGATTCCAATGACAGCCAAGCCTGAGAACCTTCCCAATATGGTCTCATTGCGTGCAAGTGGTGAAGACTGACTTGTCAGTTCCTTGAATGAAACTCCTTATGCTGCCCCCCCCCCCCGCAATCCTTAAAGGGCCAAGTCACTATCAGGGTTGAAACTAGGAAAGATCCTGGCATTCTGAAACGTCAGATCTTTAGGATGTGGCAGCTAATTGAAGGCTAAGTGATAAAGAATAAGAAGAAATCTCAGATAATAACTACCTATAAGTTACTGAGTGCGAAGCATTTTGCATACATCATTTTTCAGTCCTCATAACAACCTTGTAGGGTAGGTACAATTGTCCCCATTTTACAGATGAGGAAACTGAGGCTTAGGGAGATAAGTAACTGGCCCAAGGTCACATTACTTGTTAGGTGGTGGTGCCAGCATTTGAACTCAAGAATCACTCTGCTATCTTCTCTCTGAGGTCTCAACCCTAGGTATGAAACAAGATAGTGGTGCCATTCAGAGAATTAGGGCTGGCAAGACAAGGAGCTCTTTTCAGAGAGAGTTTGGTTGGCAAAGGCTGAATTTATGTTGTTAGCCGGGTCTCTAGGTTGTTCTGTCTTAGCAGGGAATTAGAAACATGTACCATGGGTGGAGCTTTAGATCTGAAAGTAATTTCAAATACACACACACACAGACACACACACACACACAGACATATATGTATATACAGTATGTAGAGAGGATTGAGAGAAAAGAAAAGGATTTGAGGGCAAATCCTTGAGGAAATGCCTGCATTAGGAGATGTAAGGAGGAAAAGGACAGAGTCTGTGAAAGAGACAAAAAACGGCAATCGGAGGTCAGAGATAATTCTGGGTGGAGCTCTGTTTTAGAAGCCAGAGGAGAGGTTTCACGAGGTCAGGATGAATATGTAACAAATTCAGAGGTGGAAGGAGGTGGAGGACAGAGCAATGTCTATTAGATTCAATATGGAGGAAGTCCCTGGTGATCTTTAAAAGCAGTTTCAGCAGGGTTGTGTTGGTAGAAGATGAAAGAAGGGGTAAAAGTAGAGACAATGGGGATAGACTATTTTTGAAAAAAGAAGGGGGGACAGTAAAGGGAGGAAGGGCATTGGATGGTAGCTTGGCAGAGGGTCAGGATTGAGGGGTGGAAAGACTTTGAATGCAAAAGGAAAGTGTTCTGAAGAGGAGACGGCTGGGGGTCGCATGTGAGAATGTGGATGAAGGAAAGTCATCGGGGTGGCAGAGGGACCTGGTGAGGTCATGGGCTATTGGAGTGAGCTCATATATTTCTTCCGCAAAGAAAGGAGCAGAGGAAGAAAAGAAGACTGGAGAAATGCAGAGAGATTTTAGGAGTGGGGAGAAGGAGTGAAGCTCACATCAAGTGGCTTTGATCTCCTTAGTAAACTAAGAAGGGAATCATGTGATGAGTGTGAGATGGGCAGTCATGGTCTTCCTTTCTGCTGAGTGTAGAGAAGGAAGTGTAACTGTGGATAGGACAAAGGAACTAACCTTGTAGTCAGTTGGTTCAGCCTGGGTGGGCGTATGATTTGGGCTGGGACAGAAAGTTGTCGTGTATTGAGCACTCTGTCATTCATGAGTGTTCTGATATAGCACAGCCCCAAGGACTCACCAAAAAGAGCTTCTGACTATATCCTGAGATTATGGGACAATGGATAATAGAAAAATTAAAGATAAGCCATTCAGTCCATTTTTTTTTAACTTAGAACCCACTGTGGACTGGATCCTGTGTGAAGTAATGGGTTAAAAATTACCTTACAATAGTATATAATTTAGACAAATAATTCCGACAAATCATCACAGTTCATTTAAAGTAGAACTGTAGCTCAATGATGAACTGAAAATACAGTCCTAAATTTGCAAAATGAATCTGAGTTTAAGGGAGTTTCTTTGTAATGTGAATATGTAATGTGTGGTGAAAACTTTTTGTATTGTGAATAATTTCTTTTCTCATTTTCATTTACCTGGATTTATGAACAAACACCTAAATCATGGTTTAGAAATGGCAGTCGTAACTAGAGGAGTACATTTATAATAACAGAATACCTGATAAATAATTCCTTTAAAGGACAATCTTCTTTCAGCTCATGATCTTTTGCACAGAGAAAAATGCAGTTAACATTTTGCTGTGAATTTCTTCTGTACTCTAGCAGTGTGAGTGGGAAAGATTGGATAAATATAGAATGTTGAGAGGGAAAAGAAGGATTTGAGAACAAATATTTGAGGGGATGCCTCCAATAAAATAATAATGACAATAGTAAAATAAATAGCAGATGCCACACTGTAAAGTTCATGGGCAGTACTTGTGAATGGATAAATGCAATAACTCAAATTCTTCTTAAGTCAGGGGGTCAGTAAGCATTTATTGAGTATTCATTGGGTACAGATGGGATTTGAGGTTATGAAGGAAGGGAAGATATAGTCAGTCCCTTCCCTCCTTGCAAACAGCAGAGCTTGGATGACAAAATACTGTAAATGACATTGGAATTTTAAATTTACAATCGGGTTATTTCGAGTCTCCCAGAACCCCTTCCCAGGCCCACCCCCAAAAAAGGCTCTGGGTTTGAGATCCTATAGACTCAGGTGCCTGCTCAGAATGACTGGATATCTCAAAATATGTGAGCTTGCCTATCAGAGAGTAAAAGCCAAAAGGACAGGATGATTAGGGGCTGACTTGTGAATGCCCACAAAAGAAGAAGAATGTGTGTTAGGAATGATGGTGAGTAAGCCAATTTATTAGAATGATTTTAGGCAAATTTTACCTATTCTGGGAAGAAAAGGTACAATATATTACTGAGTCATTAATTAAACTAACCATGCTCTTAATTGACATGCCCCAAGAAGAACTTTTATTGTACCCAGTTTCTCCTGTTAGGGATAACGTGGATCAGGGGGTCAGGGTCTGTGGAGCCTCTTCTGGAGTCCTTTTGATGTTCTGCTTGACTTGGGCTCATGATCCATCTCTCAGAGAGCACATTTTCCCAGAAGTCTATAAACCCCAGGGCCTTGCAGATACTTTCTTGCCTCTTTAGACCTAGAATACCTAGAATGAGAATGTATTGCCCCTCTGCCTTGGGACTTTCTGCTTCTCTGTCTGTGGAGGATCGCCTAATGCTTTGGCCCCATATTAGTCACCTCTTGCTGTATAACAAATTATCCCAAAATGTAAAAAACATGTATTAGCTCACAGTGTCTGTGGGTCAGGAATTTAGACACAGTTTAACTGGGTCAGAGACTCTTATGAATCTGTAATCAAGGTGTGAGCTGGAGCTGCAGGCATCTTGAGGCTTGATTAAGGGTTGACTTGAGTCCAGACTCACATGGCTGTTGGCAAGATTCAGTTCCTTCTGGGTGGTTGGACTGAGGGCCTCAGTTCCTGGCTAGCTGTTGGCTGTAGACTGCCCTCAGTTCCTTATCATGGACCTCATTAGAACAAGTAAGCCAACAAGTGAGAGGACAAGACAGTGAGAGCAAGAAGAAAATCAGTCTTGTGTGTATATACCTAAGAGTCAAATTGCTGGGTCATAGGTATGTGTACTATCAGCTCTAATAGACAATGACAAACTGTATTCCTGAGTGGTTGTTTCATATTACACTCCCACCAGCAGTATGAAGTTTCCTTTTTTTGTTTTCTTACATCATTGTCAATACCTTCGTGTACTGTCAGATTTTGAGTCAAGTTAACTTTTAAAAGAATTGTCATAGATTCATGGTTGAAAACTAACCCTATGAAACTGTTGATTTTCACTCTTTGTTCATTTCCCCTTCTCCAGGGGTGGGCTGTGAACCTCATCACAGTAGATCGAGTGTCCCCACTCCATGAAGCCTGTCTCGGAGGTCATCCCTCTTGTGCAAACATTTTATTAAAGCATGGAGCTCAGGTAAGTGCAGCTCAAATAACAGCTTAGAAACAATGAATGAAAAATGACTATTTCTATCCCTTCTGATTGATTTCAAGTATTTTTGATTAGCCTTATTTGAAATATGAAGAGAGGTGGTTTTCAAAAGTATTATGTCCATCAAACTTATTTACTTTAGCAATGGATGAAATAGTGAATTTTTAGCTAGAAGGTAATGGTTCAAGTCTATATAATTTTCTTTAACAGTCACTACTAATAAATAGCTGTTAGATTTCTGCCTTCATTCCTGTGATTGAGAGGTAGTGAAATATTGTAGAAAACACATAACATTTGGCTCCATAAGGCCTGAATAATGGTCCCAGACCATGTCTACCATTTACTAATATTTGGAAACTTGGACAAGTTACTTAGCCTCTGAGCTTTAGAGTCTATATCTAAAAAAAGGGATAAAATAACAAAAAAGTTGTGTAGCTTATTGTGGTACTGCGAGGACTGAGAGAGATAAGGTATATGAGTATTATTTGGAGAATGAGAATCAAGATGGCATAATGAGATCCTAGAGGAAGAAGGAAGACACAAAGTCATTGAATTTGAAAGTAGGGATCAGTAAGTCTTCCATTAACTGTTTCTCATGCTCAAAAGTGATGGGAAAATCTGATCAGAAAATTATATCTGAGTTTCTCATGTTTTCTCAACCAGTATTGACTGAGCATTTATTGTATGCCTGACTCTGGATAAAGCTTTTTAGGAACTTATAAACTAAATGAGAGGACAGCCAGATAAACAGGTGAATTAGTGAATGTAGCACTAGCTGCTTCAGTAGATAAACCCTGAAATCTCAGTAGCCTAATACAATGAAAGTTTATTTGTTGCTCAACTGAAACTCCAGTGTGGGTGTTCCTGGTTGGGTGGCTCTTTTCCAAAAGTGATTCAAGAACACAGGCTCCTTCCATCCTGTTACTCCACCATCTTCAACAAGTGGCTTCCATGTGTGCTCTAGGGGTCACCTCCATTCCAGGTGGTTGGTTAGGGAAAATATGTGGAAGATTGTGCATGGAAGACTTTTAAAGACCAGTCTTGGTAGTGCCATATATCACTTTTGCCCACATCCCATTGGCCAGAACTCAGGCCACATCTAACTGCCAGGGAGACTGGGAAATGTAGTATGGCTGTGTGCCCAAGAGAGAGGAAATAGGTTTGTTGAACGCATAGCATCTTGGCCACAGCAGGCAATCACAATACACTGTTTTTATCCATTAGTTTTTGCTGTGTAACAAACCACCTCAACTTAATGACTTAAGACAATAGCCATTTATTTATCTCACAATTCCTTGTGTTGGTTGGACAGCTCTTCTGGTCTGGCCTGGTTCAGCTGACCACAGTGGGGCTTACTTATGCATTTGAGATTAGTTGATAGGTTGGCCGGGGCGGGCTGGTTCATAATGACCTTAGCTGGAATGACTGGGAGGTCTGGGGAGACAGAAAATCTCTATGTGGTCTCTCATCCTTTAGCAGGCTGCCTATACTTGCTCATATGGTAGCAGGGATTCCAAGAGCAGCAAAAGAGGGCAAGATCTCTGCTTGCATCACATTTGTTACTGTCCCATTGGCCAAAGCAAGTCACATGAGCAAGCCAGGATTCAAGGACTGAAAAAATAGCCTCCATCTTATGATGGGAGGAGTGAGTTGCAAAGCCATATTGCAAAGGGATATGCATATTGTGCAGAGAATATTGTGCAGAGAATCTGTGGCCATTTTTGCAAACTACCACAATGTAATAAATATTAATAGTAAGGGGTTGTTGGGAGCACAAGACGTATTTCTAACCCATTTATTTCTGATGGGGAGACAGGAAGTCAAAAGAGGCTTCCAACAGAAAATGATGTCTAAACTGAAACCCACAGGACCTGTTGGAGTTAATAAGCTAAATGGTGGGTTGGGGAAAATGATGGGCTTACCACCCACTGGGCACAGCAAATGCAGAGACCTGGAAGTAAAAGTGAGCACATTTTTGTGACTTCAAATCATTCCTTATGGCAGGAGAGTAGATTGGGTGAGAGGGGTCAGAACGCAGACAACCTGTTGTCCATGCCAAGAAAATGGGCTTTGTCCTGAGAGCAGTAGAGAGCCATAGGTTAGTGCATCATCAGGTTTATATTTCAGTTAAGAAACTTTATTCAAAACTTGGGAACGGGGCCAGGACTAAGGAGAGGCAAGCAAGGTGCCTAGGGTACAAACTTTAAGAGCCCTCACTCTCAGGCTCATGCAGCACTTGTGTGACCCTGGGAGTGTCTCTCTTTTTTTTTTTAAATTTTTTGTTTATTGCAGTGACATTGGTTAATAACATTGTATAAATTTCAGGTGTACATCATTATACTTCTATTTCTGCATAGATTACATCATGTTCACCACCCAAATACTGATTACAACTCATCACCACACACATGTGCCAAATTATCCCTTTTGCCCTCCTCCCTCCTCCCTTTCCATCTGGTAACCACCAATCCAATCTCTGTCTCTATGTGTTCGTTTGCTGTTGTTATTATCTACTACTTAATGAGTGAGATCATATGGTATTTGACTTTCTCCCACTGACTTATTTCACTTTGCATAATACCCTCAATGTCCATCCATGTTGTCACAAATGGCTGGATTTCATCGTTTCTTATGGCTGAGTAGTATTTCGTTGTGTATATATACCACATCTTCTTTATCCATTCATCCCTTGATGGGCACTTAGGTTACTTCCAAGTCTTAGCTATTGAGAATAACGCTGCAATGAACACAGGGGTGCATGTATCTTTACGCATTGGTGCTTTCAAGTTCTTTGGATAAATACCCAGCAGTGGAATAGCTGGATCATATG